AACGCACATGCCATGACACCGTTAACAAACAAGTGTTGGTAACATGGTATCCGGTGCAAACACGTGACGACGAAAATGATAGCAGATTGCAAGAACTAAAGAAAGATTTTCTTTGGGTTGTGCAGGAATATGATTACCCAATATTGGTGCATCGATTTTTAATTTATTGTGTGTACAGTTAAAGAAATGCCAGGAGTAGTACTACATTTTAGAACCCGTTAATATTATTATTAACTCCCTGGAGCAGAAAATTACCTTCCTTTCATGGGATTTCATCGGATCCTCTTGGCTAGAGGAGTAGTACATTTTAATTTCCTGCCGATTAATTAATACTCACCACATATCTGTAAGTACTGTAGTATTTTCCGCCAAAAATACTAAAGTAAATGATTGCGCGGGTATGTTTTCAAACCTCAGATTCCACTAACATCGGAAAACAAACTAGTGCGGTCCGACATGACCTTTGTATACTAAATAGCAAGCAGGCCCTTCTTTAACTGGACGAAAAACATGGGGTAGAGGACGCCATAGAAATCAATTTCTTTGGCATCCCACACCGGAATGAAAATGGAGTCATGGTTAACCTTGGTCTTGTCCCTTGTTTCTTCGAAAACTCATTATCCATGCTCTATATTTCTTCTTATTTTCTGATATCAGCGCTTTTGCAGCAAGACAAAAGAAATGCCAGGATAATTAATTTAACTACTTGACTATTTGCAAAATATCGTGATATCTGCATTGTGCAACGCTGGTTTCTTGTCTCTCTGACGTAAATGAATGAATACTAACCTGATATTATTATTACTAGTTCTACGATTCTTAACGGTGCAGGTCATCTGGAACAAGTAATCCAAAAATTTTCTTCCGGGATATTCAGTGAATAGTCTTACATGTGACTGAACTTTTATGTTGGAGCCGATCTTCAAAATAATTATAATTTAATTTTCTAGGCAGGATGTATCGCATGTTTAAAGTTTATAATGTTGAAGACAATGAAGGTTGTCTAGTCGTCCGCGCCAAACAAAGTATTCTCAGTTTTTAAAGTGCATACTCGTACATTAACGACAATCGCAGTTATAAATTTTAGGTACCAGAATGGGGACAAAATATGCATAGATTTAGCAACTCGAAACTTGTTATAATTTTGATTAATGTCTCGTCTGACGTCAATCAATCAGGCGCACCTGTTTATGCCTCATCATGTTCGCTATTCTCTATCTCTTTTGACCTAAGATTTGACGCTTTTGCAGCAACAGAAAAGCAAACGGCAATCCATTTAAAACATAACGGCAAATTACGCCTGCGAAGTGCGAACTAGCCACGCACAGCTCCATCAGCCAATGCACGCCAACGTGCATTTTTCTAGTTAAATCAAATTTTCAACTGTCTGCAAAATCTCTTTCTACGAATATCTCCGCTTCGCAACGCTGGTTGTCGATTTTGTGATGAGCATGAATGAAGCAGCCTTATTATTTCTACGATAATTAACGGACCAGGTCATCCAGAACATCCGATGCCAATAATTTCCCGCTGGAGTATCCAGTAAATTGTTTAACACGTGGCTAAACCTCAGGATAGAGCCGACCTTCAAAATTATGATTTCATTTTCGTGGCAGGATTTATCGCCTGTTTACAATGTTAAAGACGATTAAGGATGTCTAGTGGTTATATTATAAGGTAATTAAGGTCTATGCCGCAGTTATAGTACGTTTTATTTTGGCTCTTACCTGTCGCCGTCGGTTATAGCTTATAGTGATTATTGATACGAATTTTATTTTATACGAATTCCAATAACTGCATGCCGATTGCCGAATACTGAAGCGTTCACTGTGACATGATTATGTTTGAACTGTATGGCTTACCACACTGCAGCTTTTAGGGTAATTTTAATGATGGTAAAATGAGACTTTAATTATACAGTTAACTCAGTTCATTCCGTCTTACGCGACGGTTATTAAATGTGTTCATCAATGATTAAATAGACAGCCTTATGTCAGTGTTTCTGTGATTGTCAGACTGACCTTTCTTTAATAAAGCACACCAGTGCACAGTCGTACTTAGCATTGTGGGCGCTTGAGAAGCACACCACTTAGCTCCATATGTTAAAGTGTTTTAGTACTGAGAAGCGTTTTGCATCTGATGAATTATGGCAACTAACAGTACCTTGTCCTTCCGCGGTAACAATTCCATCCCGGCCTCCGATTTTCGAGAAACAGGCGCGCTGATCATGATCGCCGAGTATGCAGTCTCTTTGATACTATCCGTACTCGTGCTCGGATACTACATCTATTACCCGTCCTTGCGTACTGCATTCAACGTGTACATCATGCACTTACTTTTCCTTAAGGCAATCTCCATGGCGCTCGGGATACCGGCTGTGGCTTTAACTGTGGCTGGACGTACGCCGTTTGACACTTTTCCGTTCTGTGTGTTATACATATTCCGCGAATGGACCGTGCAGAATGCAGCATCAACTGGACATGTGCTGATTGCCGTCAACCGCATCTGGGCGGTCACCTGGCCGATTCATTATCGAAAGTACCACAACAGAAAGGTCGCCATAATTATCTGTCTGACTGAGGTGGCTGTGCTGACCGCGTTGCGCATTCCGGGAATGGTTGTGGCGCTGTCCAGTTATACTGGACCCGAATCGTGCCGGGATCATATGGCTCTCCTCAATCGCACCCTGCCGGTTTATGTTCATGTCTTAAAATATACGGCCACTCCGTTGGGCTGGCTTATTATTGCGAGTTTTCCGTATGTAGTCTGGAAAAGGTGGCAATCGCAGAAACGACTGGTCAATCGGACGTACAGCGGCACCGTGGCCAGTCAACTGTCCGAAACCGAGCGAACAGGTAATTTCTATTATCCCTAGAATTTTGTGTGCACCGTACTGACACGATCACTTTCACTTTGTCTAGCGTTCCGTGGAAATCTATCTTGTTGTATCCGTACGCGTGGACAGGGATCGAAAAAGCTTCTGGTGTTTTCGCTCATGGTGCTCATCATCCTTCTAACCTGGTCTCCTAGTTATTTTTATAATTGGTTTTTCCAACGGTCCGCCTTGGGAACTACGACAGCTCATATAATATTCTTTCTATGCAGCATCAGTGACCCTATTGCGTTTTTCTTCACTGCCACACCTATTTCTAGAGCCAACAGCCAAGAGTTTCAGACGAAAGTCAGATCTTGCAAAAACTGATGTCATACTTGTCTACTCGTTTTGTTCGTGTGTGTCGCTGCTGAAGCACTATGATGCTGCAGTATCAATATGTTATACTCGTACATACCTGTACTATGTATGAATGCCACTTTATTTTGGATGCGCATTCGGTCTGTTTTTGTCGTTGGAGCTACGCAATAATTCACCGAAAGAGAAAACCGGGAAATTTAGCAGCACGCAGCCAGCTGCAACTAAAACACCGTTTCGTCGACGTTGCGTTCTTGAAATCTATGGAAAATAAAAGGATGGAAGCGTGATAATTACCGCCACCTGTCAATGATGCCCGAAAAAGTTCTTCCGGCAACGGGGTTTTATACTTTGTTGCTACTAGAGCCAAGGGAAGAATCTTTGTTTTGTGTAACAAGGACGAAAGCTTTTGGTGTCATTGGTTTGCTTGGCATGTGCGTTGTGTTTGGACGACTTCATACTTGCAACGTCGGGACGACTTTATACTTGCAACCTCTTTGTTTTAAGAGACTAGGTACAGTAGCTCTTTATATAAGAGAATGTGAAAGTGTTCCTGTTATCACGAAAACAAAATTTTGATTCGTATTTTTAACATATTAGCCAGTGTCCAGGCCAATGTTCAGTTTTTACCTGAAGCAGATACTAAGCGTAATGTCAGACTACCTGAAGCAGATAAGCGTAATGTCAGACACACTACCATCCTCAATGCCTTACATAAGGTCCACTCCAAGAGTATCAAAGGGTAGCATACTAGCAGCTTATTTTGCTCACTTACGATGGCGCGAAATTAAAACGTCGTGATGTATTTTGTGAACGCGTTGAGCCGTGTTCCCTGGTGCTTGTAGTTTTCCAGCTTGCATCGAAGTTCGAAGTATTGCATGTTTCAAGCTCTTGCTGAAAGGTCATGACATGTTTATATGTATATATGCAACGGTTTTGCATTACGAGTACTGAGTTACGAAAATCACATAGTACGAAGGCTGTGATCTGGACAATTTACTAGGGTTTACGATCTATTCCGATGTTAGGGGCCACCAATAAATGTACCGTAGTATACAGATTTTGTGGTTAATTAACATCACCAAATATGAAAACGTTTGAGTGACATTTAGTCTGGTTTCTTTGAAGCCATGCTGGTGAACTTATTTCAATGAAAAGTAAATAGTTTCCGGGAAATGTAATTACGTCTTGCAATAATTGTTAATCTTTCAAGTGCCGTAATTACTCGGCTCAAATAAAAATAAGTAAGTCGCTCGAAATCCGTGGTTTTTATGTGTCAAGCTGCCGTAGTAACAGAATGCATTCGTGTCTATTAGTATTCTGCATTTACGCAATACTATGCTGTGTATTACTGACATATAATGGTTAATATATTTGCACGAGGTACGGAAACCTATGTTGTGCTGTATTTGGTTCCGTATACCTGTATATGCGATAAAAGCTGCCGCTTGGCCTGATTCCTAAATCAGTAACGTTCACAATTTTTTACAATATTGCAGTACGTGCGTGCAGCCGTAGAGGTACCCACAGCTTTAAAAGCTTTGATCCATTATGGCGTTGTAATCGAATTTTTTCGTACCAGTCTAACCAGAAACGTTTGCTTAACATGTTAAGCAAACGCTGCTGGTGAAATCAAGTATTTTCTTTTCTTGATAGCACAATCACTTTTAGTAGTGATGGTGTCATGAAAAAAACGCTTGACTGTATGTTAATAAAAGACGTAACTTCGGCACTCGACGATCCGTACAACTGAATGCATGCAAAACTAACATCTATGACCTTGAAGGAGAAAATCATTTTCATGCAAACACTGTACGATCATGTTTGTGCTAGAAACTGTGAAATCATCGTTGTTATTAAGGGTCTTATGACTTTTCGCCTAAATTTATCTCTGTATTACGCAGAAGCGAAATTGCTGTTAATTGGCAGCATCAGGTGTGTATATTACGCGCAATTACCCCGCTGTATTTAGATCCGCGGTAAAGTGATCTCAGCCTCTTAGCTGCAGCGGAAATGAATTACCGCTGGATACAATGCAGGCGGGGGAATCGCTGTTATTAATCGCTCCACTGAATGCCACAGCAGATCGATGGATACGCGCAGCGGCGCGCAAGTGTATACATGCATTATGGCCTTGGGATAGAAAAAACCGGCCTGCCGCACACACCGTATGGACCGGGATAATTCGATTAGACAGCTTTTTCCGGGAGAACGTGGTATATAGATGTGTTATTCTGCGGCTGTGGCGCGCGCACTGAGTCGATAACGACAAACACTCCTCTGTGTAAATACCCGTATGAACCCGGTGCGTCAATTTGTGATCAGTTTTTCCCGCGCACGGTTGTCCACTGCACAGTCATACTTGTACCGCGTATAACCGGGTTTAATAGATAAATCAATATGAATTGGCTTGATCGACGGGAAGATGTCAGCGTACTGTTGTTCCTGTTAACCGCTGCATGCGTTGATGGACTGATTCACACGTGTTGAGATACTTCGCGGAAACTGGTGCGGGATTTATGTCCTGGTGCTGCGTGTTGGAGACTGGAGTGCAGGTTATTAGCGCAGATTTGTGGCAGCTCTTTGTCTCGTCGGTGATTCTGTGTCGACAATTAAAGAAAATGCCAAATGATGGATTGGGAGCGCAGCGGAATGCATGCAACCATTTGCCGGCTTTTATGTGCTAGCTTATATGCGATTAGCCGATGGTTCTTATAACACGGCATTATGAAGCAAAACGCCGATATAATGGCGGTGGAGAATAATAAGAGCGAATGGGTTTGTAAAAATATGGAATGCTGTGAATTGTATTCATTTGTTATTGGGATTTGCCAAATGATTGGTGGAGTGTCTATTGCTGGAATGGCTGCAACAGGTTTGTACCTCGTACTTACGCGTAAGTACTGTATGTTAATTATTATGTAATCTTTATACGCATGTAATTACTAAATTCTTAGATTATTGAAATCATGCAAATCATACTGAACAATCATCTATATGCACGTGTATTTATTGTGCATTCCTCACAAAAATGCATGCCGGTAAAATTATAATTATTATTATTATTACGGCACAAGAGCAGACAACCCCAAAGGGACTTCAAGTCTGGTCGAACAAAAAACATTTGAGCGCTAATGCAAGTATTTAAGACAGATCGACAGATTTGAGTAGAAATTTAAAGGCAGGTACAGAACTTGCATCAAGAATTTTAAGGTTAACAGCAATAATTTTATCAAGCAGACGCTTTAATCGAATTTATTAAATCGAAATTCCATAGTCGCCTCTCCAATAACTCTCCTTGCCCGTGCAGCGTCGACTCTTGCCGGTTTTCGTAAATTATGTGATTCTGTGTGATTCTGTGTGAATAATGTGATTCCCTAAGAGCTGTTTGTGAAAATATTTTTTTTGCAAAAACAATAACAGTTTTATCGCTAAATACTGTTACTAAAAATATTTCTTAATCATTCTCTGTACTGAGGCGTCATAAATTTCGTTGAAATTGTAATAAACTGGAAAACTGTCGGTTTCCAATAAACCTGAAGTGGTATGTCGAGACGTTTTATGCATAAATAAAACGTTACTCTACAGATCTTGCATTATTTACGGATGTATCGCTAAGCGGTTTACAGCAGGCAGCGAGCAGTTTGAGTACTCGTACTAAAGCCTAGCATCAGCGGAAGTTTCTTCATCCGTATGTGGGCTCATTAAATATTAATTAGATTAGTGTTTCTGTTAAAATTTTTACATGTCAAGTTTAATTTTGAAGAAATGGTGCCTCTAAATTATTGATCAACCAAAAGTAGCACTGGGCAAAAATTGCTGTATTTCGATTCGATTTGTGCTGTGCAGTGTGCATACATGTTACAGATGCTTTATTAAGTTTTACTACTGAATTTGGACTATGTTATTTGTGTGTCTCACCAAGAAATTCGCTGTAAATTAGTGATGAATTTGAAAATTGCATTCGAGCGTAAACCATATCATACAAATTTAGCTAGGCCTCAATTTCCAAGAGATAATTACATCCCCGGTAATTTCCTTCGCGTTCGGTGTTTGTACACTGCCGCTCACTTCATCTGTCAACCAACACCCCGACCGGAAGCGCTTTTTGCCGTCCATCAGCGCATTATTAAGCCAAAACCGAAACCTGACACCATACATGACGCAACCATCATCCGTATGCTGTTGCAAAAACGGTTTTCTACCATTTTATTTACGGAATCATGTTTTTGCCTCCATCATATACAAACATTTCTATCCTCAGTCTCTGTACAGTACGTTCAAATTCAGCTCAGTTTACTTCGAAAACACAACACAAGTGACCTTAATTACAGTCCTGTGGTATAATGACCGCAGCGTCCCGATTTAGTCTATATTTTTTGCGACGCAGGTGACGATGATTATCGGTTATTTGTTTTCGGCTAACGACACCTTCTCTGACGTCGTCAACCTGATACAAAAAGCGTTCTCCAGAAAGCTGTTGACAAAATGGCCTGATTACACGGTATTCGATGGCATCTGTTTGGGCTGAAAGGCATAATGAAGACCCTGGTCACAGCGACAATTGACTGAGCCCACACACTAACCGATTCATATACTGGCATATCAAATAGGCACGTGCTGCCGCGCGGGGATTGGGAATATAAGGATTAACGGGATAAACTTTGAATATACTGTATTTTGTATTCACCAAAAATCAATCCGCTGTAAAAATGATTCAGTAGCAGGCAATTATTTTTTTACATCGAAGTGACAATCAACTTAGGGAGGCGTGAATAGCTGTAATCTTTGACGCTTTCATAAAAGGCTAGACCGGCGAGAATAACACTATTATCGACGGCAGTACCACTTTGCATTATTGAACGTTATACAATACCGACTGCTACCAGGGTACTACGCACATTACCCATGAAAATATCGTAAACATCGTTAGATGGAATTGCTTTTAAATTTCTGAGCGCAGGCAATTCAATAAATATTCATAACCTGCAAATTTTAAGCAGCGGTATACAAGAAGAGTTCATGCAGTTGAATCACAGAAATCGGAATGTACTGTATGTACAAAAGCATTGTGCACAATACTGCGCCTAATTACAATTTACGCATATTAATTTGTGGCTAAGCTTGCGCGACCTGGATGGCGATTCAGAGAAAATTAAATCAGCTCTGTTGAGAGCCATTTAATTCACTTCAATGCCATGTCCATAATTACTAATTCACACTTACTACGGACTGTGGAATTGTACTTCTAATATCAACAAATCAATGAAATCATTTATTTATACTGTATATTATACCTGCTTAATGCTTTTTGCAGCGGCTCTCTGGCTTCCCTATACGGAATTCTACGCGGTACACGCGGCGCTCTCTCTCATTGGCCTTCTCTGCTTCTTCGCCGGCATCTTCTCCATCATCTCCGCCCTGCATCCGCCAGATGCGGCCCGCGTACCCCGCAGTGTCCGCTTACAGCTGATCACCAGCATCGTCTCCATCCTGGCTTTACTGGCCACCTTTCTCGGCATCATGATCCACTCCGGCTATGCGATCACCTTCCCGGATTACGTGCTCCCGATGATTGACAAGCGGATGCCGGAAACGGAGGATCCGCGGAAGCGCTACCTCCGCGACATCTACATCGCCCTGACCGTGGTGTGCGTGGTGCTGGCACCGCTCCTGGCCTTGACCGCGGTGTTGGCCGTTGCCATTGGCTTCAAGATTGATGATGATGTGTATGAGCGGAAGAGCGCGGAGGAACGGGAAGAGATGCGGCTGATAAATAAGAAGGGCGGCATGCAGAGGCTGACGGTGGAGAACTACACCAACGGCGGCCGATTGTGTCCGGCTGGAATGGCCCCGGAGAGATCATCCATTTCGGCTTACGAGTCTTTCTGATCGCTTTCTATATTTCTGGTCAATTGTTTCCAAATCGTTCTTTGGGTATCGGATTAATTTTCAGTTTATCGTTGTCGAGTTTCGAGTACCTTTTTTTGACAGAGAACGTCATAGTTGTTCGACTGAGTGTAAAGTGGATTCCGCAGATCATCTAAGCGGAAGCAAAGTACAGTATGAGCATACCTTACGCGACATTTCCTTCGCTGGTTGCACAATCGAAGGTAAATTGCGTATAACAAATCTGCCAAAATCATGGTGCTATTTCCGGCTTGAAAGACAAAAAAATTCATTTTTTGCCGCCAAAGAAAAAGAAATTTATAACATTTCCTTTTTTGCCCACATTTTCCTTTTAACCTGAGAGTTTCTAGCCTTTCTGTATTTGCCGTAAATGTACATACAAGCTCAACCTCGGCGTCCGGCCTCGGTTGAGAATTTTTAGAATTGAAGAAAGTAATTCGTAATTTTATAAAGATTTAGTAAACGGAATTTAACTTGATCGGAAATGCGGTTTGTTTTGAATTTGTCACTGTAGTCATTAAGTACTCAATCTTACAGAATTCAGCTAAGTCAGTTAGTTATTTCGGTAGACGGTTGAAAGTGTAAATTTTGTTTCGTGTAAATTGTCGTCTACAAAGGTTGAGCCAAATACCTTATCAGCCAAAAATATCATTAATAACATATCGGCCAAATCCCTCCTCTATCTGACCAAAAAAATTCCCTTTTTTTCTATGACCGGCGAAAATTCTTACACCTCTGGTCTTACCGGTGAAAATCTCTGTACTTCTATCTGACCGGCGAAAATTCCTGTACTTCTATCTGACCGGCGAAAATTCCTGTCCTTCTATCTGACCGGCGAAAATCCCTGTACTTACAGATATATCTGACCGGCGAAAATCACCGTCCTTCTATCTGACCGGCGAAAATCTCTGTACTTATATCTGACCGGCGAAAATCCCTGTCCTTCTATCTAACCGGCAAAAATCCCTGTACTTCATCTGACCGGCGAAAATCACCGTCCTTCTATCTGACCGGCAAAAATCCCTGTACTTCATCTGACCGGCGAAAATCACCGTCCTTCTATCTGACCGGCGAAAATCTCTGTACTTATTTCATATTTGACCGGCGAAAATCACCGTCCTTCTATCTGACCGGCGAAAATCTCATTCCTTCTATCTGACCGGCAAAAATCCCTGTACTTCATCTGACCGGCGAAAATCTCTGTCCTTCTATCTGACCGGCGAAAATCCCTGTACTTATATCTGACCGGCGAAAATCTCAGTCCTTCTATCTGACCGGCGAGAATGCTTGTACTTCTGTAGAATCCCTGTACTCCTGTTCCAACCGGTGAAAATCCCTGTACTTATATCTGACCGGCGAAAATCACCGTCCTTCTATCTGACCGGCGAAAATCTCTGTACTTATATCTGACCGGCGAAAATCACCGTCCTTCTATCTGACCGGCGAAAATCTCTGTACTTATATCTGACCGGCGAAAATCACCGTCCTTCTATCTGACCGGCGAGAATCCCTGTACTTCTGGAGAATCCCTGGACTTCTGTAGAATCCCTGTACTTCTGTTCCAACCGGTGAAAATCCCTGTACTTCTACCTGTACTTCGGCGAAACTCCCTGTCTATCTACATGTATCTGGCCGGCGAAAATTCCTGTACTTCTATCTGACCGGCGAAAGTTCCTGTACTTATATCTGACCGGCGAAAATTTCTGTCCTTCTATCTGGCCGGCGAAAATTCCTGTACTTCATCTGACCGGCGAAAATCTCAGTCCTTCTATCTGACCGGCGAGAATCCCTGTACTTCATCTGACCGGCGAAAATTCCTGTACTTAATCTGACCGGCGAAAATCCCTGTCTTTTTATATGACCGGCGACAATCCCTGTATTTCTATCTGACCGGCAAAAATCCCTTCCTCTCTGTCTCACCGGGAAAAATACCATTGAAAATTATATCCCCAGTCGGGAATTTGCACATTACAGGGACATTTATTGTGCTCATCGTATTCCCTTCTTTTTAATAATACGTACTTATGTTAACCTTTGTATTTACCTTCCCCGTTAAGGTACAGTTATCCTTTCCTTCCGCCAATTAAATAACGTGCCGCTCGCATAATATTATGCTACGTGTTAGCGTTTTCGTTCGAGAAATTATACATTTCCGCCAATCAGCTGTTAGTCACCTTATGTTAAGCCAATTAGCGAAATTCGTTTTGGTCGCGCTTTGTAATGACGAGAAGAACGAAAAACTAAAGTCGTAAAGACAAATAATCCGATTTAAGCGTTCCTTAAGCAATCATGGGAAAATCAGCGCCGAAGGGATAAGAGAAAAATGTAGAAAAACGGCGAAGTTAGCTCTGTATACAAATAATAGTAATTGTAAAAATATGTACATGTACAGAACCAGGCTACCAACCACGTTACTATTACAATAATCAGTCAGTTTTACGTTACGCCTTTCCGCATTTTCGTATTTCCACTATATCCACAATATTAAGTAGGTTGCGTTTTGCACGGCCATACGATTAACGGCAGAATTAACGACGGTTTCAACGTGGTTAATTTAATGTTTCGTAGATTCGAATAGGAGGTTGTAAAAGATTACTCTTTTCATTCGGGAATGCGTGAATTTCTTGAAAACTGGTGGGTATGCAGTGATGCACAGTACAGGCTACAAAGTTGCTACAGAAGTTAGAACATTTGGTTGCTGAATCAGCAAAGTAAGTATTCGTATAACTGTGTTTTAGTCTTTACAATAATTTTTACATTTATGACAAAGTAAATTATTTGTTTTTCTAAATGGCTGGCAAAAGCATCACTGACAGAAGTTCAACTGTCAAGACTGGTACAATTTTCGAAAATTCGAGTCGAGTGGGCAACTCAGGATTGAATGCCCAGGCAGAAATTCCCTGAGTAGACTGTCTAGCCTATGCAGTCTTCGTGCTCAATGGTCCATGTTGGCCCAGTCGTTCATTACGGAACTTCAACGTCGTTATTAACGAAACGATACCCCCTTCGTTTCGTTAATAACGACGAGTACTGCCGTTTAAACGTTCGCTAATTGTACCCCGTCGTTAATTCTATCGTCAATCGTACCCCTTCGTTGATACCGCAGCCTGCTTATTAACTAACAGTTTAGTGCTCTTTGGCTTATGAATGTCGTTTTACCGCGTGCTGTTAGTCAGCGGTTTTCTTTCGAAACGTTTCGCATTTCCGCCAATCTTCTTTTAGTTTCTAATGATAAGCAATCAGCAAAATTTTTTCGAACGTGTTTTGTAAAATGGAGGACGAAAAGAAAGATCGAAAAACGAAAGTCGTTGACGCAAACTACATGCTTTTAGGCGTTCTCGAGCTATCGTGTATAAATAAGTATCGAACGGTGGAGGAGGAAATGTTTCAAAATAATAATTATTTTCATCTTCTGCATTCAAAATTTGCATTTCCGTCAAATGAACCATCGGAGTGGACAAACCGCGTATGTATTTGTGTGCTTTCTAAATGTGTATATCCCTTTAGCTTAACAATTCCAATACCATTTCCCAGTGGTATTGGCGCTCGCGCTCGTGCAATATTGTAGTTCGCAACCACCGCTAGTATATATGTGTGTATTTGCTAAATGGGTGTATGCCCTTTTGCTTAACAATATGCATATGCATATCGGTATGTTCGTACATAGCCATGTGTCAGCGGTTTCGGTTCGAAAAGTTACGCATTTCCGCCAATCATCTATTAGTTTCTAATGATCGACCAATCAGCGAAATTCGTTTTGGAGCCGTTTCGTAAATCGAAGGTTGAAAAGATAGAAAAACGAAAGTCGTTGCCGGAAACTACATGATTTTAGGATTTTTTTGAGCTATCGTGTAAAAATCAGTGTCGAACGGTGTAGGAGGAGATGTTGGCCGAAGAAACGGCTCAGTTAGCTTTGTATATATAACAAAATACAAATGTACACGCACAAATGTACATGTACATGCGCATGCCCAGATGTATGAAATGTACATGCACAATTGTATAAAATATTGTACATGCGCCTTATTCTACTCTTCGAAATTGTTATGTACAAAAACAGCTTAAGCTTCGCTTACGTGCTTCTTGTGGTCCAGTGACCGGTTGCAATCAATGAATTTTGGTAGAACGAGGATTATTGATGTACAGTATAGAGAATTACAGATGTAAACAGATAGTACGTATACAAAGCTTGAGATGGTGCAGGTCGAAAGCGGTTGGATGGAACGCTTAAAGCCTTAGTCGTATGAGACTCATCAGCATGTTGACGTCTAGTCCACTTCATTTATTGCACATGCACAGAAAAACAATTAACACAACATCGCAGTATTAACTGAATCAGCAATCAACATCCTCCGGTGATCTGAAAACAGAAAACTGGACTTGATTTGCTTCTGGTGGAGCTATTCCCGGAACGGGGCGACCCCGCTTCCACGCTGCATTCCTATCATTCTGGTCCTGATAAGTCGCTAAAACGCCAACATAGGTCTGTTCCGCTACATCGCTCTTGTCGGTTTCTTGTCGTATCTTCTTACCCATTTTGGTGATCAGCTGGCCGAGCCATGCCGCTCAAACATGGCAACGGGCTAGGTGAACTTTCCTTCTGGGTGAGATTGTGGTTCTGGGTCTTTCTGACCTGCTCGACCCGGCCCCCGGTGCGCCACCTCGAATGGCTGTTACAGGAAAATGTTGATCGGGATTTCCCATACGGCATACGCAAGTGAATTCTCAAGTCAAACATTGTCCCTCTTGTTCACGGTCCAAACGTGAAGCCGTCAAACGTCGTTATCCGTTCGAGATGCAAGTTCCTTTTCGATTCTGGTTGATGCAGAACTCAATCGGACAACACGATGTGACATTTCGACGCTGGGACACTTTGGTTTGAGACACCTAGCTTTGAGAAATTTTACCTGTGCGACATTTTGACGCCATTCTGATCGCTAACAGTTCATCTTGGGACTTTTCAAATCATGCGGCAATTAGCCGCAAAGTACATACAGTAATTCGATGTGCTTAGTTTTACAGGTTTTTTCAGGGTTCCACGCTTTTTGTCGAAACGACCATACGACGGAAACTCGCGGCGTGGTATCCTGCCGGCGAAATAACCTTGCGGCCAAATGTCTGCGACCAAATGTCTTCCGACTATAGTTGTCCTCGGCGAATTGTCGCGGTGCAAGCGCAAAATCCCCGTTTGCAGACTACGCCCAGATATGCATGTTGTGTGCTACTTGTGCTTTCCAGCGGTACCCTTAAACGTATCTGCAACTTGTCCGCAGTTATGCTTGTTTACGAAATGCATAAAGGGAAACGTGAGGGGTGATGTGATAAAAAGAACAAACGAACGCCGGTCTGACAAATTTGGGGCAAAAGAAAAATTGACTACAAATCTGTTTGTAGTGCACAGTTTTGACTGGTAAGTTAAGTACCTGTGCGCATGAGATACTCGTAAAATCAGTTTCAGAAATCACCGCAGAATGGCAGATCAGATATCAGAATCGCAGATCACAACGCGAAATCCAATGAACTGCCCGGCTATCATGACCTGACATTTGGCACAGGTAGCTCGCCTTCATCCTCCATGAGAAGCCGCGGCTTGTACCAGATGTTTAAAAGCGGCACATAGATGAATACAACAATTTTAATGAAAAGTAGGATCAAGTGATGTAGGAAAAGACCGAAAAACGAATAACACATGCCGTGCCACAGTATCTGCACAGTAACGCATGAATTAAATTGAATGTATATTGTACACCGACATCAACATGCAGCTGCATCAGCTCGTCAAACTCGGATGTTTGCGACAGTAGGTACTGTGTACTGCATTCCACGAAAAAGAAAAAGCGCATCTCGTATTGCTACTTCCGTATCGGCGCTTCCTGTGACCCCTGGCACGAACAACTACAATTATGAAGCCAACGTACTTTGCCGACATTTACCGAGTCGTAAAAATGTTCATGACGGGAAATGAAGAGGGTGCATGTGGAAAACGGAGAACTCCGAAAGCGCTGGAATCGATGCAAGAGATAAGGTTAAGAAACATCCATAGACTTTACTTTAATTTAATTTGATAAGATTCTGGTAAAAATTAAACGGAAGTCGAGCAGTTTTTCTTTATTTGTTACTGATTGCTACAATATAGTAACTTGTTATCCTCGATTTCTCCAACGTAACCCGAAACTCCGAATCTGCAGCCAACAACAGTAAAGACGACTGAATTTGATCTTCTTCCGAGGAGAACTGTGTATTTTAGTAGATACCGTTGACGTTGGGCAAAAAAGTGCTAAAATGTAAGCAAATAAGCAAAAAATGTATTAAAACAGACGTAGCATAAACTTGTAACCGCGTCAGTAGAAATGGCAACCGGAAAGCTCTGCAACTTCGTAAAAGATTATTCATCTAACAGCAGCTTGAAAACGAACAGAAACGGAACTAGAGGATCTATTACCGTCATTTCTGACTGCTGTGAGGTGCTAATAACCCGTACCCGGCTGGGAAAGATTAGCCGAAATCCCTTGCTGTCGCTGCTTAGGATGATATTTCCATATACTGCACATTGAATAGTACGCCGCATCACTCTTCGTTCTTTAGCAATTCACAGGTCAGTTGGTCAGAAAAGGGGCTTCCGTGGAACGAGACGGTTAAATTCACGGAAGTGGTGGTTTGTCGAAAACATGAAACTTGGCTTTACGTGACTTGTAACGACTAACTTCCGGAATGGCACAGTGAATGATAAAAGTGCAGATAATTGTGCACTTGTGCTGCTCGTATGTAGTTGTGTTTAACGCGATGGCCTTTATGTTCATATTGGCCCAGAGGATACCGAGTATGCGGTAATTACTTTCAAGGTACTTTGTAACTGTTACACTGTCAACTACACTCACTCACTTACAGTAATATGTAGTCAATGCTAGTCATTTTGTTTTTGTTTTGCTTTTGCTACATTATACTACCTTTACACACGTACTGGACACTTCCAGAAGATCCATGTACACAGTCCTTCATTAATTAGGAGAACTGCTTGCAGATTTCTAAAATCTTAGAGCTGTCATGACAGTTATGCAACCGATGTATTGCGAGTTTGCGAGCGGTTTAAGCTAAGGGCTTTGCGACGGACGTAGCGCTACAAAAAGAAATGCAGAAAACTCAGAAACAAATAAACTGACGGAAAAACTGAGAGCTATACAGCATGAAATAATTTGTACATGTTTCGGAAGCTTCATAGGTAGGACTTAATAACCAAAACTCAAAAGCAGGCAACCCATAAGCGAAGATGACAAAAATTATGAAGACGACTGAAAGACGGGGTCGTTGACGCCGCCAGCAGATGACATATCGGTCAGGTCCCTCAGAATCCACAGTCTCCAGAGTACTTCCGCTAGGTTCTTGGAATTTCCCTTCAGCAGCACCGGATAGGGAATGTCTTCCACATTCTGAGTAGTAAGGAAAATTAATTATTATGACTAAACTATTTCTGATTATATAAAACTGGAAGAAGTGGCAATTGCTAGCTTACCTCAACGCTTCGCTTGCCGAATCTTGAAAACTGCAGAAATATTCATTTAAAGCTGGAGTCAGTTGATTAAAGGAGGCACACATGCTTCTACGTACCGGTGGACAATTCTGCAACACAAACATGAAATTCTTTAGAAAGAAGTCACGACGCTGTCAAAACAGATTCAAATGCGACAACTAGCCTAACAAATTGAGGCGCCTAGGAAGTACAGGGTACAGTATCTCTCAGTTGTCGACCTGTGCTAGCAGCCAAGAGGAATGCGTACAGAGTACGGCTGCGTACATAAACAAAGCATCCGACTTTCTGCGCGTGCACTTACCCGGATATCGATCTGGACATCCATCAGACAAACAGGAAGAGGAGGTTAAGGTCAAAGTGATTACGGGGTGAATAAACAGAAACTTGTGCTTACCAGGCATGCCTGTAAAAGCAGACAGGTTTATGTTCAAGGCCAATTATATTATACATATAAAAGCCTTCGTACTTTTCCGCATACGAAAGGCTGCAAAATCATTCATCACCTTTTGTTAGTTGCAGCTATCATTCCCAAAAAATTATCATTGATTTTTAAAGGCTTAAGTACGCTTCTGTCAGGGTGATTATCATATTATGCACATAATATGATAACAAGGTTTTCTTTAAACTTTCATGTTATTATAGATTTATAGTCACCAATCACTACAACGCAATATGCGTGCGAAATGCGAAACTAAATTACCTAGGTTCTAAGTTATCAGAGAAAACGAAAATTACTTGGTACGATGTTCAAGACTTAGCGTTGATAGGTATCCCAGACTTACCAGCTAAAACAATCGCCATTAGTCACGGTCATCGGAATCGTGCAAGGTACAAAGAGGAAAAGAAAAAGGGTCAGATCATTTGTGACAAAAATGATTACAGTGGAGGAGTTTTGTGTAATTTTGTATACCATACTGCAAGCCGTTTAGATTTTTAGCGTAAATTAATTACGCAGCGTTGACCAAGCGTTAGCCGTCTTACCGTTTCTCCCTGCAAAGAAAATCTGGATAAGTCATCAAGCAAAATACAACTACATAGATCTTGTATGCATTTTTTTGCAATCACCAATAAGGAAAACCACATACCATGTTCTGTAAAATAGAAAACCGAGAGTTAGTATACTTCGGGTTTCGACAAGTAAATGACTGCAGTGACTAAATTAATTAATTGTCATTACCTCTCGTTTCTGTGGCGATTCTAGCAGGAACACAGTATCCCCTGCACGATCGCTTCCTACAAAAGAAAATAGATTCTTGAAGTATTAACCCGTTGCGTAATTACTAATAATAGCAACCTCTTCACCTTTTACTCCTGCGCATATTGACAACAGTGCCGTTATGATGTACAATCCACAGATAACCATCTTGCGCTTCATAATGCCGGTTGTAGGAGCGAAAACGGGATACTACAATACAAATTACTCAACGATCAGCCGAGGATTTTCAAGGCCATCTCTTATATAGACACAACAGCAGCCGGCAAACGGAAATTACCTGGAGAAGCAGTTAGCCGGCAATGGCTGATTGGCATCGTTACGCAGCAGGAGAAAACAATTCCAATTGTGTTACGGCACACCGGCGCAGCTGCCGGCGAAAACCAGGAGGGCCACACGATTGTCTGGAAGGGAACAGTAGACAGGTGATTCATTATGGAAATGAGCCGTGTCCCTGCTGTTTACCGCGTTTCCCGCGATAATATATAGGGGACGCTGGCAATTGTGTAAGCCCTCGCGGCTGTCGGTACCCTGCGTGAGCGGAAACACACACTATTACGAAATAGGCGATGCGGTTTTGTGGCCGGTGGCGGTTATTTAAATGGTAATTGGTTCGCAGCACGTGTTACATAATTGGCCAACGCTTATATGGATCTGATTTGGTCGACGTTCCGTAGTCGCTACGTGCCGTGGTCGGGAATTTTGCGGTGATTTGTAATACCAGTATGGTTGTGTTATTTTCGATATCACTGCATGAAATTTTCGCCGTATTCAAGGATGCTGTCAGAATTCCTGGGATGAATCTGATTGCTATAACCAAAAAAAGTTATTACCGCTCTGCTTTGTACAAGAATAAGAAGGAATCGATAATTTAAAAATATCTACCGGCGTAGATTGCTATTATTTTAAAACGTAGTGGAGCATGCATGATGTTTAATTCAAGGGAAGTGTGACCTTTAGCAGATATCGCTGCAAGAGCTCAGTATGTTATGTACGCATCGACTGCATGCACGCTGGCCAGGAACGGCCCGAGATAAAATGAAATGTTTTCGAGAATAAACTAGCGGTGGTTGCGAACCACACTATTGCACGAGCGCGAGCGCCATTACCGACTGGGCAATGGTACTGGGATTGTGGAATTGGAAAAGCGTGACGTACGCTCTTCGTGGCTTCAGACAAATTTTATGCTCTTGACGAAGACTTATTGCAGCACCTCGAGCGCGCTCGGTGCAAATTATTTTTTAAGTTAAAAAATTAGTTTCAGGTGTAATGTCGACAGTCTTGACATAAAGTACCCCACAAAAAATTCAAAAATCGTCGCTGCCAAAATTTGAGTTATTCACAAATACGGTGAAATACCACCATTACAGCATTATCAACTTGCACTTTCGACAGCAGGCTGCAATACAAAATTATTTTACAACTAACAAAAATTATAGGGAAATTAATTTTAACATATTTACCAACTTAAAGCTGTCATGGACAGTTCAAAGTTGACACAAAACAAAAACAAAGCAAAACACATGCAAAAGCGGGTACCGGAAGCTATGGCATGCCCACTGTTCAACAAGAATTTAGCGCTCAGACGCAAACGCTGTGGTAGCTGCAGATGGGCGGTTTGTCGCATTAACGGCTCACCACGGAGCTTGACGTTGTACTGTAATAACTACATACAATTAATTTTTAAATCCGTACTTTATTAAATTGGTTTTTTGGTACTTGCATCCGTATGGTATCTCCAAAGATCATTCATTATTCAGGCTTTTCCGTTATCTTGGAAAACGCATGAACCCCCGAAAATTGTTGTAGGGGAAATTGCTGATCTCGCAGTGGAAACTTTATCATTGAGGAGACTGCAAATTTGCAACGGACTGATCACTGTGCAGTGTGCAGTGTACGCTGTAGGAGCTTATAACAGCGCAGCTGAGTTTTTTCTCTGATTTGTCTTTCTCGTTTTCTGTTCTACGTAGCCTTCAAGGTATGTAAAAAAACTAACCGTACAGTACGTGTTCAATGTGATTTTTCTTGGTGAAAATAGCATAATTTGCACTGTTCATGTATTAACCACCCAACATCCTTGGCTTTAAGTTTAGGGCCTTAGGCTTACGAGTTTTTGTACAGCACTACCCTAGGTGACTAGTATGCAGTAATGTGAGATTTGGTACTGTTTGTAATCTGCACCAGTCTCCCTCCAGCTCTCTCCAAATGTTGCCGTATCATTTTTGGAGAATCTACTGTTAGTGCAGTTCTTTAACGTGACGAATTGGGTCTGTGCAGCGCGCGGCAGTTGAGGATGGAGAGCAGCAAGAAGACCGTGGATGTCGGGGGACCCGGAATGAGCTACGTGGGATTCTCCGATCTGCCCAACCTCATCCACCGCAAATCCGTCAAGAAGGGCTTTGAGTTCACGCTGCTGGTGGTTGGTAAGTGAGAAAAATTGTGGCACATTTATTCCGAGCTTACCAGTTTTTCTGAATTTTTTGTTCCAGTATTTTTACACATTTTCGATTTTCTCGAATATTTTATGTTTTTCGCAGTTGTATTGGCAGAGGGCTTGATGATTACGTACTGAAATGTCGTTTTAAAATTATGCTTCGTGATGGGAGTAAATCGTGGAAGTTTTACTATTAAGTCGCGCGATTTAGATTCTAGAATTCAGAAATAAGACAAAGAAATTAAATCGGAAAGAAATAACATGCATTATTGTTACATTGTGAGTTCTCTCAGTTACAATAAAAATTACTGATTATTTTATTTACTAGTTATTTTTTATTTTATTTTTTTGATTGTTGATCACTGTGATACGATTTTTAACTCTCGCCGAGTGGATTCAAAAATGCACCCACTTTTCCCGAATTACCTGTCTTAAATTAATCTGGAAATTCGTGTTTTGATTTTTGTTATTTTTGCGTTTTGTTGCTCTTAAGTTTTGCCGTCGATGCTGTATGCAGACGAGTAGCGCACCGTAAAACGATACGTATATAGCATATTTTTTGGAGATTTCAGTTGCATACTATTACTATTCAGTGATCATAGTCAGTAACGGTTGTTGGAAAAATTATTGGCAAGTTAACGTTATGCGCAGTATGTACAGCAGTTGCTATTCCGTGCTAGCGCATGCCGATCAGAAATTACCACGCACAAGCTAAAGAGTGCTGGTGTGTGTGAATGGCCGATGAGGTGGCCTTGTTCTGCTGACACTTGTTTATTACACTTGTCGAATTTCGTCTTTACAAGCTCCCGACCTAATCAAAATGGCACCTCGCTACTTGACATTTATGTTTCGATGTCCATGCGTTGTTTGCACATAATTAAATTTTGCGTAACATGAAGATTAGTATTAACGATATTGTATCATGCACGTTAGGGTATCTTTAATTTTTTACATCGAGTTAACGTAATCTGCATTTTATCCGTTTTATCCAAGATTTAATGATTTATTTAACCTGAAGTATAAAAATTGTCTGATACTTCATTAAATTCTGTTTCTGTAAAAGCCTGAAACTCTTGTGTTATTGTTTAAAATTAAAAGGCATTCGATAATTCACGCTGGCAATTCCGAATTAGATTAACAGCATAAATTTTACTTGAGCAGTAACAGCTGTACTGCATTCAATTCGCAGTGTTAGCTTTGATTGCTACATTTTTTTTGAAAATCTAAAATTACTTCCAGTCATTGAAAACATGAATAATCTAATTGAAACTACAATTTGTGGCAGTGCTGTTAATATGCCGGGAAAAGGAAAACGGACGGAAAAAGTCGTGTTTTATAAATACGCACGTTTACACATTGTGGTTGTTTTAATTTCACGTAGATGTGTTTTGCTTTTCGAAGAATACTCTGTATAAATAGCACACATTATTTTTCGATTAGATTAAGGTTGTTAATAGACGCTGTGATTTGTGTGCAGGTCGGGATGGTACCGGGAAGACGACCGTGGTCAACAGCATATTTCATACGGACATCATCAATGAACCACCGGAACATGTGGATTTCTCTGACTGTAAAGTGGTCCTTGACCCATCGACCGTTGAACTTGAAGAACGAGGTAAAATGTTTGCCAGTACCATCGTATACATCCTGGAGCCTACGCAGTTTACTGATAAAAAAATTTGAATTTTTTTTCCTGAAATAAGTGAAAAAATTGTTATGAATTCCTTAAATAAGGGTATGAATTACTTATTCTAATTGCAACTGGTATCGTGTGTCCATGAATTTTGCGTATGAAATACAATAGTTGAATAAATTTTTGGGTTGATGATCAGTTTCTTAGCTGCATTTCTTAGCTGCATTATTTTGGTCTCGCAAGAAGCATAAAATGATATGTTGACTCGTCTGTTTATATTGGCTGTTTTTTTTATTTCTTTTATACTTTTATATATTTTTATTGAGAGTTCATTCTTTTAGGCGTGAAAGTCCGTTTAACCGTAGTACACAGTCACGGTTATGGCGACAGTTTGAACAACACCAGCAATCCCGATCCCATTATTAAATATATTGATGATCAGGTAAAGAAATATTAATTAATTTTCTTGATTTTCTGCGATTTTATTGACTTTTAGGCGTACTATGTACCCATACTTTATTCTAGAAATAATAATTATAAATTTATAATAATTCCTGTTGTGCTTGTAGTTTGACAAATATTTCAACGATGAAAGCGGAATTAATCGTCGTCACATTTTGGATACCCGTGTGCATTGCTTGGTACGATTTGTCGACAAAGCAACAAACTAATGAAAGCTTAGTCAACTGCTGCGATTTGTATCAAACTTTTATGATAAATTTTATTTTTATACTTGCAGTTGTATTTTATTGAGCCATACCAGCGCGGGTAAGTTGCAAATCATATTTATTTATTTTGTGTTTATCGCAGATTAATGATTCGAATCAGTCGTAAAATTTATTTTTACCGCACAGTGTACATAAACGTCTGCTAAAATTTTACTCCAGAAAATCAGTGTGGTATGATTATTGATGCTGGGTTATTCTGTTGTAGACTGAAGCCGTTGGATGTCAAATTTCTGAAGGCAGTGGGATCAAAAGTGAACGTTATTCCTCTTATCGCTAAATGTAAGAATTGTCTCCTCCGTTTTCTGTTATGCACCGTAGCCTCGAACAGAGTTCCCAAGCATTACGGCCATAATTAAATTCCATTTTTGCCATAATTCAGTAATCAGACCTTGACGCATTCCTGTTTTAAGTGCACGCTTATCCGATTTTATAGCCGACACTTTGACGAAACAGGAGCTGGCTGCCAAAAAGGACCAAGTACGTAAATCTGAAATTATTGATTAGCGAATACTGTACTAGTGCAATGTTAAAGCGTGAATTACCGTTTTTTGACGGATTTGAGTTGTGAAGCGCGTGTAGAACTTTAGTGGATTCGCTTAGTTGAATCATTATTAATGCGTGCTAAGTAATGCTGTAGGGTAACTATACCAGAAAAATGATAATAATTAACACGTAATTTTGCTCCATACATGGTTAGAGAAAAATACTCAGAAAATCAGTATTTATTTAAGTTAATAAATAGTTTGCACTAAAGTCAGAGAAAAGCGTAGTGTAAATTTAATGGTTGACAATATTTATGGTAGCAGTTAATAAATGTTTGGTGTTGTCGGTTTAGTTAGCGCGGGACATTGAGAAATATGAAATCAAAGTGTACCAGATGCCGTAAGTCGGTGGATACATTTACCACGCGTTTTCACGGTGTTTTACATGATTATCTCGCATGTTCTGCAGTGATGGCGAAGATGATGATGCCGAGTACAAAGAAACCTTCGCGTGCATCAAGAAGTGTATGCCGTTTGCGGTGTGCGGCAGTAATACGCCCATCGAAATGAAAAACCACAAAGTCTTAGCACGTGCCTACCCCTGGGGCATTCTCGATGTGGAGAACGGCGAATGGACCGACTGCAAAGCGCTGCGCACCATGATCATGTACGGAATAATTGCTACTTGTTTTCTAACGGCTTCGTGCTTACTTGAGAGACAACACAATGAAAATATGTTAAAACATTGATTTATGGATGCGAAAAAATTGTACATATTTTCTCATAGTATGAATCAGTTACGTAGCAGATTTTGCATCTCCACATTTATTAATTTTTAGAAATAAATTTCTCCAGTTAAACAAATACTGGTTTAATTTTATGACAATTTTGTAAATTTTCTAATTGACTTGCTTATTAACAAAACTGATTTGCGTTTTAACAAAATTTGGAATTTGAAACAGTATTCTTATTATTTTATCCGAATTTAATTTGAATGCTCATATTTCTGTTTTTTTTTGTGTTATTTATGGTTTAGTTATGCTTTTTATTCTGTCCATAATTAGTTTTTGAGCTGTATTCCAGAAGCCAGATGTCCGATCTGCAAGAAGTGACGCATAATGTCCATTACGAGAATTACCGGTCGGAACGCCTCCTCAAAGATAAACTGGGCAAACGGTATGGAGAGGCGTCAGAATCCAGGCAAATTATACCATTTCGTTGATAATAAAATTCCATAATAACGGGAATGTTTCTCACAACTGTTTCCTTTGATTTTCGGTATTTTCGATCGCCCTTTATTAAAAAAATTAGGTTTTCTGGTTGTTCGGGCAGCATTTTTAAAAACTTATTATTTTCCTTTACTTTTTTTGGGAATTTTTGAATTTTTTTATCCGAGCGTGAACTTCAGGGTGAAGAAATTATTATTTAACTTCTGTTGGTTGCTTTTTTTGAAAGTTTCTGGCATTTTTTATCCGCACGCACAATTTCAGGATGAGGAAATTATCATTTCACTTTACCTATTTTTTAAAAATATATTTGGTTGCTATGGAAGGTGTTTAACACATGTAAATTCGTTTTCAGGATGGACGCTATCGGTGAGCAGCAGCGCGAGCAGGACCGTTTGCTGCGCGAGAAGGACGCTGAGCTGAAGCGCATGCAGGAGCACATGGCGCGTCTGCAACAGCAGCTGCAGCAGCAGACCAAACTCGATGCCATTCCGGGTCGTGACAGCCGCGTGTAAATTGTGTATTTTGCCTTGCAGCTGATTTTTTCCATAATCTGTTTGTTATTTTCTAAAAATCTCCGCATTGCTGCCTTACTGAATCTTGCGCTTCCTTTTTTGTTTGTATGCTCTGCCGTTGTTTATGGTACTATGCTTAATAATTCCTGCGCGCTGTGAATCTCGTCGGACCACAATTTTTTGTATTTTTTATGAGGGAATGTTTTTTAAGTCGATGGTGAAGTGCATGTTTCCATGGTGTTGTTTTGTTGGATAAAATGAACTGGTTATTTGCACGGTTATCAAGGTCATGTCTCAGAAACTGACTTTCAGAAAAATGTACATTTATTTCGGTTTTGAACTGTAAATCCGTGTAGGTCCACTTCACAATTTTCTCTCCAGCAGTCACATTGAATTGTTTACATGAAATGTTTAAATTATAAATATGTTAATTATAGGCATCAGTTTAGGTCGGACGGGTGTCGACTCATGAGAAACTGCAGTCAGACGGGTCAAAATTCTCGGATCTTCGACCGCAGCGTAAAAAGCAAAATAAAAATCCAGGGAAATTAACTGAACTTGAGATGAATGCTACAGTTTATGAAAAAAACCCGTTTTGCTGTTTGCAGTTCAATTAAAGGGTGGATTTTTCATATATACTGTAAATTCGTACTGTCTAGAAGCGGTCAACATTAGCAATTATTTTTTTACTAATTGTTGATCTTAAATTGCAATGAGATTTTCTGGTTTTTTTCTGGATATAAGGTGGCTTATAGGATAATTCGCATTCAACCGGGCAAGCCCATCTTTTATTCCATATGAGCATAACACACAACCGCCGTTAACACCTTAGCTAAAAAACGTAACATCGAGTCATCGACAGCACATATCGTAAAACATGACCTTTCGACACAACTTGGTCAAACCAACCAATCATTAACCTTGACCTTTCAGTTATCCAGCACGGACCATACTCCCCATACCACCATAATGTTGCTGCTGGTTCTGCGCCCATCTCCTCTCGCGTTCACCGGCCTGGGCGTAGGGCGCAGGCATCCCGTGGCCGGAGTAGCGGGCGGCCTGTCCGTAGTAGGGCGCGGCCTGCTCCATCTGGCGGCTATAGTAGGCGTACTGGTCCGGGTAGTTGTACATCTGGGCGGTAGCCGCGGCCACGGTCAGCGCCAGTGCGAGACACAGACGTAAGCTGAGCATAGTGATAAAAAACGATAAAACGGACGTGGGGTAATTCCAATTAAAAAATGGGATGATCGTTACAATAAAACGCACAAACTAAAATTTCCAGCGCTGTAGATTTTGTATCGTTTACTTTCTTCCAGCACTCCCAACAGCTGCATAGCAACCATGATAATATTAAAATGTTAATTATTATTTACTACTGTACAGACAGTACAGTATAAAGAGTACAACAGGAGTGCATTTTACGTATGTATTTATAGAATTTCCATTTACTTACTTATATGCAATTAAGCTGTCTTAATCAACCGAAGCGTAGCAAAGGTCACCCATGCAGGGCAGTGTCAATGTAGCTATTTGTGCACATCCGGTCCGTTTGTGAAATCACAATGAAAAATACGCTTATGAAAATGTGGTGAAAATGCAATCGAAAAACAAAAATTAATGTATTCCCGTAAGTGCACGCGCGGTTTAGGGTAAGAGTACCAACGCCGGCACCACCAAACAGCTACATTTGCTGCCGGTCTAACGATGCCTAACGAAAAAAAAGCAAAGAACTGCTTACACTTAATTTTATATATTAATATGTTCAGCTAATAGTAATTAGCTCCTTTTGTAAGTCCCACATCAAAGAGATATCGAAACATTCAAATAATGATCTACAACCATGCAAAATATTTACAAAATGTTATGGTTACCATTACCATTCACGTGTACAGTTTGATCTTGACTTGTCTTGCGGGGATCCAAAGTGAGAATAGAACATACTGCACTCAGCGTTTTTATGCAGTATCATACGAGTTATACCATGAACATGGGTTATTTATGCGTTCAATAGCTACAGGCAAGCCGTTTTTAGCAAGAATTAATTACTGGAGTGTGGAGTCGCCGTAATTGGACGTAATAATTATGATTCAGCATGACATGAACCACTCCTGCAGTTCTTCGAGTTCCCTACAGGCTCGGAAGCAGTTTAACAATTAATCGGTACATTGTCAGGCGACTGGTTCCATGTACAGAGAATAAAAAAGTGATAAAACCAAAGAAAGTTTTGTTCACTTCGGTAAATGGCTGCAATTTTCAGCGTTAATAACAACTACTTTATTCAGTGTATCGGCTTGCCAGGCTCAATATGTCTCGTCCTTTTTTATACCTGTGAGTCTTTCTGTAAAAATTTCCACCAAGTACAGTTAATTGTCTGCAAGTGTGTCTGTTTCTAGCGTTTCGGCTCTGCTGCTTACTGAACTGGTTGCTGCAACTTCCGCACCGCGGAAACCTGAAGTCGAAGGAACCGAGCAGGAACCGAAGGAAGTCAATCAGGACGTCAATTCAAAAAGGCTCTTGCTGCGGTAAGCGCTGTCGCGAACACTATGCAGTTATATTTTTTCTGCAACTTCAGGAATAAACTTTGTTGTATAAACCTATCCCTCATTTCCTTCGACAGAAACTTTTAATTTTTACATTTACCTTCGTTAAAATCAAACTGCTTGTTGTAGGTTGCCAGTGAAATAAAAGCTAAGATTAAGGTCAACACGAACATTTTTATACCGGTGTCGTACGCTCCTCAAAGAGGCGTGGAAGGCCTGTACTTCGTTAAGGTAAAGTCGGCGTAATATACACTGCATAAGCGTCGTTCCCAACCGTATCATACACAGTAGCCTACTGTACTTTATAGTCACTAAACATGGGTGATTGTGTTTACGAATAATAGGTCCGAATTGGTGCTGATCAAGGCGCAAAGTACGTTCACGTCCGCGTCTACCACACTTTCGAGGACAAATACCTTCTAGTGAGCATTCAGAACGATGGCCAAGCGGATCCGATTACCTACTTTGAATAAACCGTCCCTTGGTGATTAATATAGTTATATAACAATATGTTATGTATATTATAGTACTTACTGGATTCTCTTTTGCCTGTATTCTCATGCACTGCCCATAGGCGAGCAAGGAATTCAGGTAACAAGAAAGTATCCCGTTTTTGGCTTAATATTGAATTCCTGTCAGTTTTACCCACCTGTGGCTTGCTTGTGCTAAACTGCTTTTGGTGAAATAATGTTAGGTGTACAGTATTGCAGATATAACTGCTGAATGATGTTAACCGAGAAAATAAAATGTCATGTACATTAATACTTCGTGCCTTAATAAAATCAAGAGAAAGAGATCGGCCATGTCATTTCTAATGCTGTACAGGGACCAACTTGTACTGGCAACCTTCGTAAATTCGTGTGACATCGGCCTACGACAGCCGTAGTAGCGTTAAAAGGTCGCTGGCGGACCTGGCTTAAAAACCTCAGGCACCTCTTAGACTTAATGCTATTTTCCAGGTGAAAATCTGGTTAACTTCACAGGGTGCGAAAGGAAAAATACTCATACGGTTTCATACCATGTATAGGTTAATTGATTTCGAGAGAAACAGAATTGAAAAGCAGAAAACTTCCGGGGAACAGAAGGTAGTAACACTGTAGCAGTTACAAATTACAGAACCAGATGCACTCCACTTTTCAAGAAACGCGAGCTCAGATAGAGCAGCTTTGAACAAAGCCATACACCGGTATGTATATTATGCATTCACTTTTTAAATGCCCCAGTTTTCAGACACCCGTGCAGAATACAAACGATTAAAAACGTGCTCATTTGATGACCAGCTACAGCTCTAATTTGCGTGTTGGTGGGTGTACTACCTTATCTGCATGGGCTTGTCTGTCAGCGGATCTTCAACGCAAACTGAAAACTACTGTGTATAAAAATCTATTTAATTGTGCGGTCGGAAAACAGGGAGCAGTCCTTTGAAAAGTGCAGCATTATGTACTCGGAAAACCAACAACTCTTCACATTATATTTAGGGAACAGTTCTTTTGAAAAAACCACATTTTTCGGAAAAACGAATTAATGTGGCTGATAGGAACTTTGAACCGGCTCGGCAACGAGCCAGTCATGCAGCGCTTTCCAAGTTCCAACTATAAACATACTAAATTACTAATGACTCATCAACATCGAGTAATTAGCAATCGTTCAATAAGATCAATTACACATTCCTGCCTAAGCTATGAGCTATGTACTTAAAACCGGCGAAACTTTTTCGATAGCGGCAGTTTGCTAAACTTTTCGTCACTTTCCAGTATATCACGCTTCCAGTCGCTGCTTTTTAGGTTAATTGAGTAGGCTGTGGAAAAATGTCTCGCGTTGTTTTATACCTGTAAGTACAAAGTATCTACATTAATGTATGAAAACGTTCAATCGCGACTTCTAGTATAACAATCAGTGCCTGCATCTTATTCCAGCGTTTCCACGCTGCTGCTTGCTGGATTAGCTGCTGCAAGTTCCGAGCCGCATCCACCTGAAGTCACGCAAGCCAAGAAAATTGATGATGAAGCAAAGAAGGCTGTCAACGCGGTAAGCGCTATCGAACAATTTAATTCATTATTTCTACAAAATCTGTAAACCGTATTCGAGTTTCAATTTTTGAACGCATCTATCGAATTCTTATGCAGAATACTTTTGAATTTGGTAACATTCATGAAAAATGCTTTGGGTAGGTTTCCACGGAAATAAAAGCCAAGGCCAAGGTCAGCAGAGGCACCATTCTCCTTCCGGAGACGTACGCCAACCAGTTGGATTTTTATGCCGGCGTCATCCGCTCTGTCTACTTCGTCAAGGTAAAGAAAGACCTGTACAGATAGTATAATACTTTCTCGATCACTGCACAGTGCACCAGTAACATGCTCAGCATTAAATTTTCTTTTCTAATCTTAGATCCGACTTGGAGGTGGTCCGGCAGGAACATACATCCACGCCAAGATCAAACGAGAGGACAAGGGCAAATACAATTTATGGGGTATCAAGAACGTTAGAAAAGAGGATCCGATCGTCTACTTTAACTAAAACAACCGTCTTACCATCCACGCTGTGTACTGCAACAGTGAAACACCACTAAATTTTCTCTTTTGTAATACTCTTTTAGCAGGCAGTTCAAGGTCATGTGAATAATTCGCACTTTATTTAGCGCGATATTTGGCTCAGTGTCAGTTGTTCGACAGTTCTATACATTTACGCTAACTGCATGTGTTTGAATAATGTTACGTGGGTTGAAACATACGAATAAGCAAATGTTGACAGAGTTCCAACAGAAACAGAATGAGTGAAGGTCAAGGTTCCCGTCTGATTTATAAGTTAACTGGCACGGAAACGGTATTTCCATTCGTTCGCGCCAGGTTGTCTGTACTGTATTACCGCATCCATTTACCATTAGAGCCTTTGATCATTACATAATTATAGTCAGTATCTACGTTGAATCCCTTACCATATGTACGCATTATTGTACAGTTCTTCTTTAACTGTAGAAAGAAACTTACGTAGCACTTACTGGTTAGCGGCGTTATAATGTGCATGCCATCTTCTACTTCCCCATTCGGAAAAAATGTAAAAATTTAAATAAGGCAACTTTGAGTCAGCATCTAACGGTAATCAGTTACAGCTTTTCTGTGGCGTTTCTCGCATGCATCCCAGGTGCGAAAAGGATTATCCAGTCTTGTGCTACAAAAACGCGTTAGAGTATGTAGTCATAGTCCATAGACAATCAGTTCTCTTTAAAAAAAACATTTTTCGGAAACATTAGCTACGTAATGTAATTGATAGTAAGTGGCTGCGAGCCGGTTTTGAAATGAACCACTCCCGCAACTTCACACACACTAATAAGCACAGTGTTAATAATAATCGGTACAGGTTATATGATCATGTTATATTATCGATATAAAAACCAATAAAGCATTGTTCGTCTCAGCAAAGCGTTAACTCCATTGCATAGCGTGTTGGTTGCCAATTAAGAACTGCTTTTCGAGATACATAGACCGTGGCAAAATGTCTCGTGGTCTTTTATACTTGTAAGTCGTTAAATATAGAAACACATCCAAGTTATAAGAATTACTGGCTGCTTGCTATTCTTTGTGTATCTTCCTCTAGCGTTTTGGTTGTGCTGATTGCGGGATTCGTTGTTGCAACCTCCGAGCCGGAGACACCTGGCGTCGGCGAAACCAAGCCAGCCGATCAGCAAATAAAGAAGGCTGTCGATGCGGTAAGCGCTGCCCAGGACAATCCTTGCAGCTTTTCTGTAAATTCGAAAACGGTTTGCGAATTGTAAGAAATCCATCCGTCAGGTTTTTTTCTGGAGTGTTTATAAATCTGTGTAACTTTCGTGGAAAACGAACTGCGTAGGTGTCCAAGGAAATCAGATCCTTGACTGGAGTCAGCAACAGCACCGTTCTCACTCCGTTGTCGTATGCCGTACACATCTGGTTTGATACCCTGTACTACATCAAGGTAACGGTCTGCATTATTTTCAATGCTCAAGCGTTACCCAGAACCGTAATTATTGTAAAAAGGTGCTTATGTTTATTTCCAAGTTTAGGTCCGACTCGGAGCTGGTAAAATTGAAAGATATATCCATGTCATTATCTACCGGAGTATTTTCAACGGCACATACTCTTTGAGCACCGTCAAGACCGCTAAGCGAGACGAGCCCATTACCTACTTTGAATAAACAGTCATTTTGCTAATTACTGAATGATATTACCGAATTATTGTCTTCCTTGCATATAGCGCCAATATGCTATTATGCAACCAAGGAAATTTAACCTTAAAAATTACCATGCTTTGGTGTATTTAACGTAATACGATTCTTTGGCAAGCTTTATGATTTGCGATAGAGTGCTCACGCTGAAGAGACGATGCATATGCGGTAGGTTAAAAAGCATAAAACTGGTGAAAACAACTCCGATAATATTAGAGTCTGCACATCGATAGAAAGTACATACACAGATTACTAGTATCTAGTGAATTAGTAATAATCAGCTCGGGCTGCAGGATGTTACTTTTGTTATTTTACGCTCAATATACAAATAGTCTAAGGTGCAGCCTGTTAAGTAAGTATTCGTAATTTCGCCTTAAGTGTTGGCAAATCGGCGAACCGTCGCCAAACGGAAGCGGCTCCTTGACCTTCAAACAGTAGCAGTGAAACCTGTAACAATTAATGTAGTACCTCGAAAAATGTATTTAGTTAGTTATGCAGATAAAGGAAAGCAGCTCTTTTGGAAAACCATTCGTACAATAATAATATTACTCGAAGTAATTTGCTAATGTGATTCCAATGGCTTTGAACCGGTTTCGCAACGAGCAGTGCACTGCTGCATCTCTTTCCAACTACACATCACATACGATCGGTCTAGTAATATAGATATAAGGCTATGCGCATTCATGTAAACGACATAAAACCCAAGAAACTTTGTCGAGTGCAAAGGTTTGCTTAACTTTCGATCGTCAATTGCTTGGCATTTGGCAACTTGGCACAGAATAATAAACTGTCAGCAGCTGCTTTTTGAAATACACAAACTGCGACAAAATGGCCAAGGCTCTTTTATTCGTGTAAGTTTTTGTAACAAACAGTCTTTTTTCGCTTATACAATCATTGTCTGCAAATTAACGTGTCTTCTTCCAGCGTTTCCGCTTTGCTTGTTGTGGGATTCGCTGCTGCAAACTCCGAACCGCATAAACCTGAAGTCACGAAAACCAAGCCAGTCGATGAGGAAGCCAAGAAGGCTGTCGGCGCACCTGCGCACCGGCGCACCTGTCGGCTGGGTAAGCACTGCCGTAGAGACTAATTACAGTATTTACTATTTCTGCCAAATCCAATAACTGGCTGTTAAACGTCTGATTCGTAAACCATTTCTGTCTGCGTTTCTTGTAAAACAGCTCCCAATTTTTGTCACGTTTGTGGAAAACAAACTGCATATAGGTTTCCAAAGATATAAGGGTCAAGGCCAAGGTCAGCAGTGATACCGTTCTCACTCCGGTGTCATACGCCAAAGAGAAGGATTTCTATGGTGTCGTATATCCCGACTACATCGTCAAGGTAAAGATCTACCGCATAAGCGTCATGCCGAATCGTATTTATTAAAAGTACCGGTGCGCACCTTTCAATTAGATCCGACTTGGGGCTGGTTCGGCCGAAAGATACATCCAAGCCCGTATCTACCATGGTATATTCGACGGCAAATACTATTTGGAGAGAGTCAAGGACGCTAGCCGAGATGATCCAATTACATACATTTCCTAAGCGAAGCTTTACTCTCCAGAATATTGGCTAAATCAAAAGACACCTCCTCTTTCTCCTGAACATCAAGTGAAAATATCCGTATGAGGCCACCGAACTCCGACCGTAAAATTCACGATTGGTCTAACGAGTAATGTAGTGTGTTTTGCTCTTCAGAGTTTTGGTACATAATTACTGATGCAGTGCAAAATAAATGTGCTGTACTACTGACAAACACCAACAAACTAAAAGCAGTTTTAACAGGCTATAACAAGAAAATTTCCTCTAATTTCTCATGATCCGGTATTGTGCCCATCACGCACATAGCGTTTCCTCTTTGAATCTGTATAGAGATCCGCTGCCGGAAAAATTCCTTCTTCGCCCGTGGACCGTGGTTGCCCGGTAGTGGCCGCGACATGACATGTTTTGGACATGCTACCATTCAGTAACAGTGCTACGCACCGGCATTCAGTGCGGATGTTAATGCTCCTTTTGTATCTGTAGGCCGTAGAAGGAAGCAGAAAACTGGTGAATATGTTGATAAAACTACAATAACAAACTTTCCAATGAGCAAGCAACAATAAAGCTTCGCTTTCTCGTTGAAGATTTCAAAAGAACACCCGAAAAAACTGGCACCGAAACGGCATCTTTTTGGCTACGCGATTGCTTGACAGAAGTGCATTACCGCATTCATTCAGAATTTCAGCACTATCACATTGTTAATTGGAGGTAGGGTAACTCTCCACCTGCGGCTAAAAATTATGTTGAGAAATAATAATGTGCAAGTCAGTCATAATCAGCGTCCTTTTACCGGATTAATAATGTTGCTGAAAAGCGATTACAGAAGCCAGAGGAGGTAGCATCGGTAAGCTTTTTAACTGCATGTTAATGTTTCGTGTAGCGGCTGCAGTTCGTGTTTCAGCTGCGGCGCTACAAGCACAATTATGAGCCATATGCGGATTTAAAAGCTTACACGAGATGCTAGAAGCTCTCTTACTATGTACAGTAAAAACATAACATAGCATTCAGAAAGATAGCATAACATTCAGACATAAACATTTCCTCTATAACATTAAGAAAGTTAAGAACGGAGGGTGTACGTATTAGTCTATTAGAAAAGATTCACAGTATTATCATTATTTTATTGTATAATTTGCTGTACCGCAGTAAAGACTACGATTCTATGTACGGTACAATAAGAAATCAAATGACATTTTCTTTGGAAAAATGTGCAATTACATAGTGCAATACGGTCGACATGGACGCATATTATCACTAAACCGTCGTCGCGCGGGAACGCGTTCGACTGGATAAAATCGTTTGGATGCAGCCGTTCCATCGCCGCATCCAGAACCGGACCACTTGGCCCAAATACTGCCGACTGGTAGCCGCATCCGGGCTGAGCTTGTTACATCGCACATAACCATATGCCGGCGCCGACAACCAAAGGCTGAATTTATTATGCCTGTACATAACGGCATCGCGTACAGGCATAATAAATTCAGCCTAACATCCCACTACAGTTAGGTACAGTAATTACCTACTGTAGCGGGATGTCAGATGTTACGGTTTTTATCGCTCCACAGGCCTGGCCGCTCGGTAGACGGTTATATCCGATATACTGTAAGATATAATGACGGCACCGAAAGCGCGCCGGAAAATACGAATACCATGAGCGAAGCTGTGATCGCAGCTGCGCGTTTGCGGCGATACGGTATCCGATGAACAAATACGGCGTAATCAGTCCATTTAATTGACGAATAAATGCTGTGAAGTTGACTGTCTTTTCAGCATCGAATTTTTATTTATTGAAAAAAAAACACAAAAGTCAGGATGTCGCCCGTTGCCATAACTAAGAAAGCTAAGAACTCGAACAACACTTTTTTCATGAGTTCTCTGTTTTTGTTGTTGAGCTTTAGACTGTGAAAGATATGATAGTACAAACAGTCTCTCAAAAGAGAAAGACCAATGTACAAACATAAAGCGCCACCACCAGCGACATCCTGGCGCTGGCGCCGCTTTTCAGCCTGGACAACTCCTTAACTACAACATCGGTCTCGTTGACCATATTCTCATTCTTGTTGACCATCTCCTCAGTCCCGAGGACGGCTGGTTCCGGTGTTTTCAAACGTGAAGTGTCCACAGTTAAGCGCTGTACCATCGGCTCCTTGCCGCTGCCTTCAGCTTCCAAAAGATCAGCATAATCCATTTCCTCGTCATCAGCCGAGCGTTGTTGTGCAGCGCCTGTCAACCGGTTTGTCTCGTTAGCAATGTGTCTCTTAACCCGGGTTTCGTTGGCAACGGTCGTAATTGTCGCATTCGTTAATCTGTTTGAAAACAGCAATTCTTTAGCATTACTTCCGGGAGATATAGGGTCCGTCCGACCAAAGACTTGGGCATCCGATGTTGCGAATAATACGAGAATTAAGACGGAGACGGTTTGACCGGCGAATTGCAAAAACATTCTGAACGACATTCTGTTCAACGATAAACATGTGATGAAAAAACTGTGCTAGTCAAATAATCCCAATACAAGACTGAGAACGTTGCATATACCGCCGGTTGTGATTGAGTTGTCCCTATCACACTGGTTCTAGCTGGTGTAAAGTTTCTCGAAGTCGTGCGCGCCGGCTGCAGTTGCAGTACACTAGCTTATAATAAGTAATCTCTCAAAGCATCATGAGAGTTTGTGTAATTAAACCGCAAGAAAACGCGATAATGTGATACCATCGTATGGCCTTCCTTCTTTTCCCGGGACCGATCTTTCCTGTATAAGCGTTTCTAGTTTGCATTTACATATCTTATTATATGTACTCGTCCATATTATATAAGGTTGCATGGAAAAAATAACAAGTAAAACAGCAACTGCACTTTTAGACGCTGTAAGGAGGCATAAAACGGTGTTATCTATTTTTTTCTTGCACAAGTATTGCAATATTTTTGTAGATCAGATAAAAATGATAGCAGTACTTGGTTCGCCTCATTACTCACAGGACAAACTCCACGATCAGGTTTCGCTTGTCTTAGTGGCGTTCTTTTCGCGCTTCTTTGTCTGTGCACGACGAACAGCACTCGAGTATCGAATATATTGAGACGATTTTTAGCATTAATAGTGGTGCCAAGATATTTTCCACTATCGTATTTTTTAAATTGATTAGCAATTTACTTATTTGCTATTCTGCATTCGAATCAACTGGAAATCCTTGCCGCAAAGTTTAATAAGTTGGTAATCCGCTTAATAATTTGTGACCACGATCGCGAGCTGGGGGAACAGTAGTAGTACTAGTACTAAGAGTCGTACTAAACCCAGTGATGATATTATAAGACCGTAAATCACAATTATTACGATCAGTCTCCCAGTGATTATTCAACACACCCTCGGTGTTACGTATACGGTTTCGGGTCAGTAAACTACACGTTACAGGTCACATCCCATCACAGATTTCAGATCATATGTGCAGGTTAAGTGGGTGAAAAGTTGATTCTATCTCATGCCAGTGTTCAGATGATTTTAATAAAACCGCAAGTGCATGGTCTCACATTACAGTACCTTACTGAAGCAGTACTGCATATAAGTACATACTGGTGTTACTTAATATCTGGGGTGGGGATGGCCAAGATTTTACTACCCCTGGGGGCAGTTCTGTAAATTTAATCTATCTGGATATTAAACACGGGATTGGCTGAACCGTCGGCGTACGTATTTAGAATTACAGTACTTAGTTTAATAATACCAGGTTTACTGTAGCTGCACTAGTACGCGAGCGTTCGATCTACAGTATTAGTGACGTTGCGCAAACGCGCTTCTGGTGGCAGTTGCTTGTAGCTCGTAGATTTTAACGCCTTTTAACCTGCCTGTGCTCTATCTACGATAAGCAGAAGACAGACAGGATTAGGGACATTAAAAGCTACGAGCAACAAGCAACTGCCACCAGAAGCGCGTTTGCGCAACGTCACTATTTTATTACTGTAGCTGCACTAGTACGCGAGCGTTCGATTAATTAATTAATTAATCGAGACATGTTAATTTTTTCTTTTGGCTGATCGCTGAACGCTGTTAAAATTACAGTTGCGCAAAATTAAAAGCAAATGCGATGGTAGTTAAGTGTGCATCCGTCGCATCGCGCTTAGCGGATACAGAGCACGTACGTACGTGCACCTAAACTCAACCCGGATATGCAGTGCTTTGCTAAGCGCGCAGGCCTTACGGTAACTTCGCAAGTTATCGTCGTGGCTGAAGCGGTCTTGCGCTAAACGTCACGAATTTGGGGAGGAGCCACAAATAACAGCAGTAAAACTTTAGAGCTAGTGAAAAATTAACCTCTATAATATCGATACTTCTACACCTACTAATACAGAAATAAAATACTGAAATCGGACTGTACAATACTTACATGAACTGACAATGAATTCAAAACCTCCTGTATCAATATTGTGACTTCTGTAATAACAGATCACCTTCACTTTTATTATTTTACCGATGGCATATAACTTAACAGCGCAAAATTAAAATTAACAGCGCAAAATTGTGTCAAGTAAAGCATATTGTTAAGTAATCTTATTTGTGGAAACAGGCAAACATAGTGGAGTAAATAATGTAAACATTATTTATACCGTTTGCAACGGTCTTCATCGACTTTAGCTATCCTAATGAAATAGGGTTAGGACAAGATGTGTAACGTCCAGTCCGCACAGATAGCGGACACATACAGGGATATCAATAGTCAATATATAAATATATGCAATAGTCAATATTAAATACACATATATTCACTAGTCAATATTAAATGCGTTACGCTAATTAATTACCGAAACTTATATTACTATAACATAATTACCATGCAATTCCAGCTAAGCGGTTCTATCTTTGAACTACTTACCACCGTTCGGTCTGTGGTCTTTAAACATAGTCAGAAATCACCTGTCTTCCGCAAGTAGTGTTTCGCAGTGAATGTCAGTCTTCTTAATTTTATTCATACAGCAGAAAACTTTTGCCTGTAAGATGCTAATTAAGACACCGTTTAATGATCTTCATATTTTTTTTGCATCGCTGCATGCTTTTATTAATACGCAGCTACTTAACAAAATTTCATCATTTACTTGGTCTAAAGTTTTCCAGCTTCATAGATTCTCTCAGGTCAGTTTTGCAGCTAGATCGCAGTTAGCCTAAATAAAGTTTAAAAAAAATCGCATCCTGTAAGGGAATAATCGGTATTTTTAAAATTGTAAGCTGTTCAAAGCGTTTTTGGCAATATTAAAATATCAAGGACACCAGTAGAATTTACTTAATTTAGTATAAGAAGACATTGTCTAAAACATTCGGAAGGAGAGAAGCACTCGAGGACTAGCTGCACATAACATTAACGCTATAATACCTGTACTATTAAATTATAGGCACAGTGCATACTCGTTTTCTGACAGTGCCAAGTATGGATATTGGTGCTGTCTGCTGACAAATCCGTGGTCATGTGCACAGCTTTCGCAAAATGATAATTACGAGTATTACACCATGTATTATATACAGTACCTGGATGGACGTACAGTTGCACTTTACTTTTCCAGCCGGGTTAATACCTAATACCTCGTTGCAGATTCTGTGAATCATCTTAAGTCATAGTATGATAATTATGCTGATAAAAATACTTACAGAGTTTGAATGTGCCGAAACTGACATGCTGTTTTTATTGTGGTTGCTTACAGTTATAGCCATGCACCCACGCATACTTACACCGCACCATACCGCTTCTGTTTTCCGGTCCTGTGCAAGTGTTTACGGGAAACCGGAAATTTTTACTTACTATTCAGCTGACAGTGGCATTTGTGGAGGGCAGTCTGCTGCATGTTCTGAGAAGCGACGCACAGAACAGAAGGCGAAACCGAAAGAAAGCAGCTACAAGCCCGTCTCACAAGTCAGTGAAAGCCGGCAATGAGATGCGTACAGAAATGCAGAAAATACCTGCTTCAGTACGGTTGTGGCTGCAACTGTGTTGTAGAGTGAGTGCAATCACGGAATGCACACACGGCTGCGTAAATTGTTTATGATATATTTATCTTCCCTCGTTAAGATTTCGCTGTTACAGTGTTCGGCTTTCGCTGAGACGGGCTTGTATAACAACAAAGTCCTTTTATTATTATTATTATTATTGCAACTACAGTTGCCAAACTCCATTAAAGGAGACTTTATACCCTAAGGTGAAAACCTTTGGGCTTTTAGGCTACTGGAAAATTTTTTTTGTTTAATTTTGAAAATTGTATACTTTTTTTGGTTTGATTTTATGAGATAAAAATTTACCATTATAAACCGTTGGACCGTTGGCCATTAAAAATCGTATAGTTATAGTTAACAATCTTTGCATTACAGTAAACAGGATTTGTAATAAACATATGTACAACTTAGGACTAAAAAGACGCATAACCCCATACCCAGATACTTATCCGTACGCATGTGGCAAGTGCACTTGTACGACAACCGGATATTTAGCTGAGTCGTACAGCGCACTGCGCCGCATATGTTCGGAATGCGGTGGGTGGGACTATGCGTCTTTTTTGTCCTAAGCTGTAGTATGCAGTGGAAGACAAATTTGATTTATTTTACATTAGGGCTGTTAGGCCTGCCAGCGTACAGCGCATAATTCGATAAATGACTGCTGCAAAACAAAACTAAACCCGTAACTAAACTAACAAAACAAAACTAAACGGGGCCGGTAATTCTCAATTCCAAGGAAAGTACCTCGGCTAATATTACGCGCCCCTTTCAATACTTCAGATATTTCCGCTTCCGATGCCCGGGCACGGATAAAACATATATAAAAGATAAACAGGATAAGACAGATTTTTATAGATAAAAGGAACATATAAATTTCTCTGGCCATCCAGATCTAGGTTCCTCTTGAGGCTGTCTATTAAAATGGATAAACAAAATGTGACCCAGAGGCCATATAAATACATGAAAGATATAGTTTTCCATGAAAAATTTCAACAATTTCGGCAAATGTTTGAGCCCACACCATAAAACTGACCGCATTAAAACATACGGCAGTTGGATAGAATGCTTGGTGCAATGTGGTTTGGAAGGCAACATCTCTACAAAAATGTTAATAGTATCAATACATTTTGTATATATTGATAATATTAACATTTTTGACCGCACAGTAAAGAACAAACTATAATTTTGTTAAAAATCTTGTTTAATATTTTTTGTGTCTTACCTTGTAAAGAATAAGAGTGTTCCATTCTGAAATATTCAACAAACACTATACTGCTGTACAAACTTTTAAAAGTTCTAATGGATGTAAACTTGCTTGAGTAAGTACAGAAATTGTCTGCATAACATTAATTTATACGGGAATTCCATACAGGTTAATTTTACTGCCAATATGCTAACGGTTTTTGATGGTCAGATCTTCTAAAATAAGGAAACGCTTATTAGCACCTTTTTCAATCAGCAGTTAAGAAGACTACCGAAACTGGAACCAAACTTACCGCTCATGCCCCATAAAACAAAATAAATGCCGCATTTTGCAGTAATTTAGTTGGTAGTCAAGTCAATTGCAAACAATCTTTAATGAGATGTTCATGCGGCACAGTTTAATGTCTCAGCGGCACACCTCATACGCGTTTAGTTTGCATCATAAGACCTAGCTGTAGAGTAGTGTTTGTGTAAATATAAAGCAATATTAATATTTATTAGAATTCTCAACATTCACCAGCAGGGGCATTCGTGCGTGTGTAGATGTCGCACTAAGATCGTACGTTCTAATTTTGTTTCGTTGAAATGTAATTATTTGTTAAATTTGCATCGTTTAATCTTGTGTGCAGAACATACTGTACTGAACTAACAGTTTTAAATTCAAATTTTTGGTGGGCGAATTTCGTGCTTAAATGTCCATCACTTTAAAGCGTGTTAAGAAACCGAATATGTGCAAAAAACGCGTAAAAACGCAGTGCATGTACAAGATGTCCGCTTCAAAAATTCCCGTCAGCATCATTGCAAACGAAAAAACAGTAGCACGGGTTATTTAATTTTTGGCGGGCAAACAGAAGATTGTCTGCCGGCATGATAGTAAGTATAATATATGGCTAGCGTTTTATTTTCAAGGTGCAGAAGACACACGTATTACACTGCATTTCGAACTATAAATATTATTAAATTCATCAGTGCAAAATTTATATTTTCTTCATATAAGCACATTCATATATTACAATAGATACAGTTGAAATTATTATATCCACCTTCTACCAACATGCATAATATACATGTGGGTAATATGTATGCATAATATGCATTATGCATGCCCACATCATTATACGTGTAATTATTATAATAATGTGGATAAAGTAACTGAACTAAATAATTGACAACCCCTTTATTAATACTGCTTAAGCACACTGTCGTGTCAGCTCAAAATAATTCTGTCATGCGGCGTCTTTCTAATAATTGTAAATTAATTCTTATGGCTTTGTTGATCTTGATTTTATCCGAACCATCCACTTTATGACTGCTGGATCCCGAGGGCGTAAATAGCACATATTTCGTTAGTGGAAACAAGATTATCCGTGACTGCGCTCTTTGATTTAGCTCATTCGTCATGCTGTTGCTACTGTGACAGCGCCATCAATTACCGCAATATGAACAATACACCCAACACTAGAAATCCCAGGTGCGCGGCTTTAGTCGAATCCAGCCCCAACACTCATAAATGTTGGTGATTGATGAAATAATGCACAAACAAAATCCTGAAGTTACTATGTATTCGAATTTACAAACCACCACATCAGGATAGCCCATCAGGCAAATTAACTTCCGGCTACAAACGTTGAATATAAAATATGAACAAGCACTTACTAATTTTTAGTTGCCGACTTGCCGTCGTGACGTCCCCACAATCATGGATTACAACGGCACAGTTTTCACTAAAGTTTGCAACTTCACATATATTCCGATAAGCCTTAACGTTAGTGAACACTTCCACGTTAACTGTAGCCCTGATAAGTACCAAACAAGTATTTTGTCCCTGGTGTGCTTCCATCTTTTAAATACTTTCTTATCGATGCTGAGTGCCCGGATTATCATGCCATGGTTGGAAAAGAAACTGAAACCACCATGTGAACGCTTGTGGGCCTGGATACGTACCAGTCATATCTATATCTGGATATCGGGAAGAATCACGGGGATACGTCGCGGTATCCGCCGCTGTTTTGGTCTGCATGACCCTCCGCCAATACAGGACGGCCACCAGGCCGAAGAACTGGAACAGCTAAATTCCGGGACCGTCCAGAGTCCCGTCCAGACAGACATTGTCTGTCAAGAAGAAACAGCCAAGCCAGCCAGAACGGCCCCGCGTTAAGTGTGTCCCACAGCTTTTAATTGGGCGCGGTACACGTGATTACGCCCTCGAAATACTCTCTTTTTTTCATTTAACATATCTGTATATTTAGCGCTCGAATCAGTCTTACCAAAATAGTCTTTAAAGCTTAATCTACGTTCAGTCTTTAATCTACGTATAGTTCTGACAGCGATCGAAATGGCTGAGCAACAAATCAACAATAATAATTACGCTGCCTGATCCATATCCATATACCATGCATACATGCCGACGAAGCGACTGTTAATGGAACGTCCGCTGATTGTGACCTTAAGCATTGCAGGAAAAGTTGAATGCTCTCAGCCGCTTGACGATAGAAGACACAATCTCTGGCAGCAACACGAGTACACAATTCAACCTGAAAGTACTGCGCCTCGCGAACACCTGGATGTACAGGATTAAGAGGCAATGCACCGGCTTCCGCAGTAACACATACACGCATCCGCCTACACAACCCAGCCTTTCTCCGAGTTTTGTTGTCCCGTCTGCGTTGATCGGAGTGTTCATTTAAAGGGCAGGATTATTAACGGGTCTATTCTGAGTATTCTCCTTGGATGGCAGCAGTGGCCGCGCTGGTAAGACTTCCTGTCAGACGCTCAGTGGAATAATACGCAGGCTGTGTCAATGGCGGTGGCAACCAGATGTGACCGCGCACATTAACACCCACCACTGCCGCCGTTTGCAATGGGGGATCGCGTTTTGTGAGGAGGCGATTACGAGCGGGAGTAGATTGAATTTTATGATTATACCGAGTGATGGACTGGAAAATTAAGATTTTACGCGTGTTGGTGGTATTCGATGACGGTTTCCGGCTGCTGTATCGGAGCGCTGAATATACCATGTTAGTACCAATGATCGGCCAAGCCGACATAATTATTTTAATCCTAAGCACAAGAATTAATGTTTATTTATACGAACATGATTTACTTCTACCAGTCTAATTTCTAGCAACGATAATATTCAGTATGATCGATAATAACGTTTTTTATACCCACTTTTTACATCAAGAACAAATGTAGACATATATCGCTTGTATTTTCCCAAAACCTTAAAAATGACAGTACTGCAGAGCCTTTCATAATATTACATGTCTAACTATTTATTTCAGCTTCAACAAATTACATGTATAAAGATTTATTGATTTCCGTTGCCATTCGATTAACTATGCTCTCATGATGTCGTTTGAACTATTTGCATTACATCAATAGTCGTTGTCTTCCTCGTATATACTCGGATAACATTATCGTTTGTGACTTTAAGTACCATCGTTTGAACCAGCTTTATCTGGAGGAACACTCTTTGAATACATACAAAGACGTAATCCATCTATTATATCATGGACGGATTACGTCACACGTGCCGGTGCGGCCTTTTAGACGGTGGATTACAATGGCATTATTACACTTCTCCATCTAAAAATTAAAACTAGATAATATTCATTTATTAAGCCTCATTACGTACTGCAGCAATATATAGAAGCACATGTGCGTTAGTTAATTTTACGAAGCTTTGCATTTGTTATGCGATTATAACTGACGTGATGTCTTAATTCTTGGTAGTGGCAGTTCACCTGTTCAGCTGGCGTTTTGCCATCTTCCACATTGGCTTCTTCAGCCTGTCTCTCCTGCACACCATCATCGGCATCACCGGTCTGTGCGCCGCCACACCCTCCCACTCCTAACCGGCGCCTGCTGCCCATCCACTTCGTCGGCACAATCATCAGCGTGGCCTACTCCCTGGTTTTCTTCGCCGCGCTGGCCTTCGAATACGACACCATCTCCTTCCCGAAGTCCGGCGTGGCGCTGGCCCGCAAATTAGCCAATCTGTCCGCCACCGACGAAGCGTACGTCTACGCCATGTACAGCGCCCTGCAAGCGGTCTGGCTGTTCTCCACCGCGTGTCTGTGCGGGAGCGGCGCGCTGGTGTTGTGTGTGTGGAAGGCGGCGGTGGAGCAGGAGAGCGGCACCCCGTTGTGTCTGCAGCATTATGCACTGCCGGGGACGCGCTATTCCCGCGCCGGCCGCTCCGATTCCTCGGTGATGCTGTCGTCGTTCGGCGGGTCAAAGGTCACGCTGGATATGGTGGACGAGCCGGCGTCGCGTGGCGCCGTGGAGGAACTGAAGGATCCGGCGATGGAGGGGGTGGAGATGAGTAGGTTTATTGAAGTGTGAACCACTGGGAATCGAGCGTGAAATCTTTGTAAATTTTATCGTTGCACAATTGTGACCTCATTCACGAAAAACAGCGGTAGCGTACGCGTGTACCTGTGCATGTGTACATACAATATCTATAAAGAAAAAAAGTTGCTTATCTTTCCTACTGTTATTTTACACTGTCGTTATAGCAAATGCTTGTTTTCTGGGCGTTTGTCTTGGTATTATGTATATGAAAAAGGAACATTTCATAAAGAGTCAACCAGTTTGACTCGTTTTGACTGTATTGCGGTTTAAATTAATACGAGTACTGAAGCTAATGTTCACAGTGCCCACTTTTTTACGACGATATTGTACTTTGCACAGATATCTCCGGAAAACTATACTCAAGCTTAATAATAATAAACTAAACTCAAGCACACCGTCACCTGTAATCAAAATTCCGTGAGAGCTTTTTGGATGACGATGCGCTTGGAGGTGGCCCTGAAGACGTGCACGATGACCTGTGTACTTTGCAAGAAGCGCTGAAAAAAGCCGGGCTGCATCTGAACATCGCAAAATGCGAATTGGTAGTGAGTCCAAAACAGATCGCCAAAGAGTAACTGACGCATTCCTTCAATCGTTTCCTGATTTACAACTGCCACATCTGAAGGAGTTGAATTACCTCGGCGCACCACTCCACGACGACGCAGTTGCGGGCACCCTAGCTGCTGAAACCGAGAAGATTGCCAGGATGACTCAGTGGTTAAATCTGCTGCCTGCCCACCACGCGTTGTATCTTTTGAAATGCAGCATGGGTCCAGTAAAAATGATTTACAGGTTGCGCACTACGCGGTGCTACCTGCAAGCAGAGTTGCTGCGACAGTTCGACAAAATGATAATCGGCTGTTTGTCCAGAATTACGAATGTGGATATCACCGACGCAATATGGACGCAAGCGTCACTTTCGGTCGCACAGGGTGGTCTCGGAATCCGGAGCACTGAGAAGGTGGCCCTTCCGGCCTTTTTGGCCTTGGCTTACTCAGTAGCTAAACTGATCAACGAGATAGTGGATTTCGACCCGGAAGTGTACTGTTGTGGCGCCTTAGAAGAGTGGCAGCGAACAGCCGAAGCCGATCTCCCGACTTCCGAAACCCGAAAACTCCTGAAGACATGGGACGAACTGATCATTCGGGGCATGGCAGAGGCCCTGCTGGTGGCAGCACAATCGGACATGTCGAGTGGAGCTCGTCTTCAAGGTGTGAACACTAAAGATAACGGCACATGGCTCGAAGCGCTTCCAACCGCATCCCTCGGGAACTTCCTAACCGACACCACACTCAGAATTGCTGTCGGCCTGCGTCTCGGCGTTCCAGTCACCATTCCACACCGCTGTAATTGTGGTGAATGGGCTGATGCGCGAGGATACCATGGCCTGAGTTGCAAAAAAAGCCGGGGCCGGAAGCCCAGGCACAGCTGCATCAACGTCGCTTTAAAGCGCCTATTTGCTTCGGCCGGTATAGAAACGGAATTGGAACCACCTGGTATATGCCGAACCAACGGCATGCGCCCCGATGAAGTAACGTTGGTCTAGGGTTGTTGATACCATTTGGTATTTGGTATTGTGGTACGGCTGGTATACCACTTACCAATGGTATATCAGGCAGGTGTCAAATGGTAAAATTAAATACCAGATATACCAGATAAAGTTTGGTATACCAAACTGCGTATGGTATTTCCAAAAATTTATTTAATTTGCAGTGCAGGACTGCAGGAGATGGAGGAGCAGGTTCATAAAGACGTAAATCTACTGCCAGCGTTACAAGTTTGGTATTCTTGCTGTGCTTAATGAATTAATGCTATTATCGTTCACTACCATGCAGTTTGATAGAAGTATCCATCATTCGCTCTGCATCCGCATCAAAATCAGTCAGAAATTCTACTGTAACGAAAAATCATTATTTTGTGTTCATTTCAAAAACTGATTAAGCACATGTTAAGCAAAATTGGTTAAAAAGGTATATGTTAAGCAAAACTGCCCGTTCGATATCATTAAGAGCTCCTGTAATAAATCTAGCTGTAAGTCCAAGTATTCGAGCAAGCCAGAACAACGAGTCCGATTAAACGGACGATCAGTCTAACCGGTTGGTCCCATGGGAAAGAGGAAAAATGTTAACTTGGGACGCCACATGTGTGTGCACGGTAGCTTTGTCACATATCGCGGCAACATCGAAACAAGCAGGGGCCGCCGCGGCACGCGCAGAGCAGGACAAAGTGGCAAAATATTGGGAAATCGCTCGAGATTACATGTTCCGTGAAGTAGGCATCGAAACACTCGGACCGGACGCCTCGCGGTTGGTCACCGAAGTCGGGAGCATCAAAGATGATACAACGGGAAACGGTACGGGCGACGGAGTATCTGCGCCAACGGATCAGCATAGAAATCCAACGCGGGAACGCGGCCTCCGTCATGGGAACAGCACCAGTATCGGCTAACTTAGACGAAATGTTCTGTTTGATTACCCACGTAAAAAGTTTTTTCTAAATTACATCAAAATACCACAACATATCCGTAGTCTTTCACAACATATATCCACGGCAAGATTTGGGCAGCCGGTTTGAGCCAGGTTTTATATCAGTACAAATTGGTACCGAGTTACATCCTTCACCAAAAGCAAACTTGTAAAAGCCATTTTATACGTTGTCAGTTTATATGTGTTGTTACAAAATTTTAATTACATTTAACTGGAAAATATATTAAAACGGAAGTTCGACTAGCTAAATTGTCTCAACAAAACAGTGCTAATTCAATTTTTCGGAACCAATGCGTGCGACCCGTTTGTCCATGCAATCAGTAGGCTACGTACAATCACCAACAAAAATATAAAATTCGGTGCAAAAAAAGTGTCGGTCGACCGACATAAATAACCAAACACTGCAGAAATAATCGTATAAATGCACCTTTTTTTAAGATTGAAACTGTTTATTTCGCTTCCGAATGTATCGCCTACAAATTATTTAGCGTTAAAATCCACGCGCGTCGGCAATAAAATTTTTGCTGCAAAGTTTAGTCGGTGAACGCTGCAGCAATGTTTCCTCTGATTGGGCGAGTGGCAACTTCAATGTTAACAGCACGTTCACGTTCAGTGCCGTTGTGCAGTCTTTGCTTCGGAAAACTAACTTTAAAATCCGCAACTTTTAACTTTCTAAAAGCCATTCATTTTAATTATGATTCCACATGAACCATCTCAAGCTTTAGTTACATGGCTGTCGACAGCCAGATCCTTTTTCAGCATGTACGTGAATAGTGAGAGTGCTAGCATTCCGTTCCGTAAAGCTGTGGGACGCGACACCTCTATGAAAGTACACGCAAGGGCGCGTTTTCGTCTGCGGCGTTTGTGAAGATCCCAGGAGTTTTGTGCTGATTCTACGGTGAGAGTTTGAATAAAACCTCAGATTTTATACACCTGATTAATAGAAAAATTATATAATCTTGTGTCAATGTTTTCAGCTCGTCGAAAGATGCTGCACAACGGGAAAATTGTGCATTACGACATGCAGCGGGACAGCAGGTACAAGTTTGATAAATGATCGTAATAAGCCTGCATTTTAGTGGCGGTTTCATTTAAGATGGGGTTACTTCACAAAAACAAGTAGCTAGTTCGGCCGCCCATACTACAGTAAAGTACAGTCTTGATTTGCTTAAGGCAAATTGTAAGCTAAAATCTCAATTTCGCTTTGGTGCATGTCGACAAGCAAGCGTTTTATTAATTGAAAGTTTCGAATGTATTGTAAAAAATGTTTATCTGCGTATGACTACATGCTGCTATTTCTCTTCTTTTAGTTTTAAAAAAATTCAACCATAGAAACCATGTAGATTTGTTGCGTGCAGTTTGACTTATGATAAAATGATAGTCGTAGAAAACATTCTTCTTTCAACCAACTTTAAATGAACCAATATGCTTTTAATTTTGAATTTTTTTCTTCAATTGGTTTTTTATCTGCAGCAGTGATTTTAATTTTTTCAAATGCAGTGCATGTCAACATGCATTCGTTGCGCAGAACTGATTGAAATAATTTAGTCAATTGTATGAAAACTTATAGTGTCACTTGAGCGCAGTAGAATGTGTATCCTGAGATATTTGGACTATCGGTAGTTTGAATGCGCTAATTAATTGCTTTGCAGGACTGATGAATGACTGCTCTTTTGCGTCGGTTTCCGGAAAGCAGCTTCCCCGTAAAACGCATGGATGTCAACACCCAAAATATGATGCTGAATGCCGCATGCTACGTTTTTAATGATTTTATGCTGAGTTGTTAAAAGCGTTTCTATTCGTTAAACATTGGTTTTTGAGTGATAAACGCGTAACGAACTGGATTTTCATTGTTAATGGCATCGCCGCTGTGCTTTAAAACAAGCTCGCTGCTATATACCCGAATAAATATATCTTACATCGATTACTCATATCGAAATCGGGCATTTTAGTATAAATCTAAGGGTCAATACATGGCCTCTAATATCTACATTGCATTCAAAACCTACCAATAAACTATATCACATTTCTGACGAGGGTTAGGCCGCCTATCTCCGTAGTCGGCTGAGGCTGTGTATTCAGTACAAATTTTTCACTTTTATAGAAAACTTGTGACTGTGTATCGTATCGCCAATCTGAATAAAAAGCTTAATAATACTCAAGGTTTAATAGTCCACTATACTCAAGATTAAAAAAACAAATCTCCGGAAATGTGTATGCACGTGAAACTTCGGACAGATACCGAACTACAGGTTAAATTTTGAACGTTCTTAGTATTTCTAATTTCTGTAAAACTGTCTGTCTATCTGTGTGTACTATGTAGCAGAAAATACATCGAAGTCCTTTACTTCTGAAATCCCTTAAACAATACACAAGTTTATAACTTACTCTATATACGAGCACATTAGTCAATGCTGCGCGGGGCCAGCTGTGGAAATGTTTTCAAATTTTTAAAAATGTAGAATCCAAATTTTGGAGGTATTCCATTAAATATTTCCAAACAGCGCTTCGCAAATATTATAATATTCACAAATGTTTAAAAATATCTGAAAATTCCAAAATATGTGTGTGAGGCCTTCGAGATTAATGAAATCCCGTACTTATGAGCATCGATACTTCTGTTATCATCTTTCGTGTTGCTACGTACTTTGTATTGTACTTTGTATTGACAGCGCAAATAAAAAAGAAATTTGCTGCTATTGTTGACCTTTCTAGATATAGGGGGAAAAAGCAGTCTAGCCGGACCATTCCCCTGTACTGCTGCCTTCAGCCGGCTGGAGGCGTTGGGGCTAATCTTTGGGCGTTGGGGCGTTGCTGACGTTGGGACTAATGTTTTTTTCCTAAGTAACTTGAAAAGTTACTTAGGAAACTTGAATAGTAACTTGAAAAGTTAATTCTGGAATTTGGAGTTAATTTCTTGTAATAAAGACGTAGCGATTTATAAATCTACAGAGTATATAGGGGGAAAAATGAGTCTAGCCGAACTTCTGATGTCAGCCGGCTGGTGTTTTACGTTGTGGCTATACATGGTGCTTATGTACCGCGCCTGATTTAACCGTATGTATTGCCATAACGTCACACTCCAGGCGGGTGACGGCAGTAGTACAGGGAAACGGGCCGAGTAGACTTGTTTGTCCCCCTATATACAACGTAATAGTGTATAGTGTCACGTAATAGTGTATAACGTAGGTAAAAAAACGTAATTCATAGCAAGATTTGTCTCTGCCATGCAGAAATGACCTCAACCAAGATTTGTTGGAGCAATGGTCCATTCAAGGACTACGCTGTAAAATCTTCAACCACAACAACAACAAAAACAACAACAACATATTGTCAGGCACATGAGCCTGTGCGTGGTGCGTACGGCTCAACATGGAGCGTACTTGCACTCACTGCTGTCTTTTTATTTCTTAAACGCGTATAAATTGCAGATTGAAAAGAAACAGTAATCACAACAACAAAATTTCATTTAAAGCTGCCGCTCCATCCACTGTTCCGAGAACTGAAGCGGCGTTGCCCCGCTGAATTTCTAGTGACAACCGTTGACGGAGAAATTCATGGGAGCGAGGTTCACCCGTGTGCAGTTGAAGTCGTTTGCCGATTTCCTTTACTAAGAGTATGGCTAGCTTCCCCCAAGGCCCAAGAGTTTCGAAACCTAGTGGAGAGAAGACATATCTACCCTCCAGATACGAGTACAGTCGTAATTTTTTATCTTCGGCCTCCGCAGCAGCAGCTCCTGCGGTAACTGACGTGGATTGCAGGTAAGACATCGCAACGGTATCCACGCAGGTCGCGTCCCATGCCAGGCACATACCACGCTTCCAGGCAAAGGTTGTGCACCCATCCGGACGGCGATCGGACGTGTGGGATGTACCCCGGGGTTCCAGCTTAGCCGGGATGCCGGCTGACACTAACGATCTACACACAATACTATTCAAACCGCCGTGGCGTGCGTGTCTTCCAGCGGAAAAGGAGCAGGATAAGCCGTGGTGTCCATACTCATCTACGGACTTGTAACACTTCGCACATGAATGCGGCTCGCAGATCTTTACGCCCAGTCTCAGGCCGACTGAAATCTTTACTGTGTCGTCGTCAAGGAGGTTACCGATGTGTGCAGAGGGCAAGGCATTCAACCAGAGGCCTGCTTCCGGTGTTGATTGAGCCATTAAGCGGGCACGGTTGACCTTATCGTCGCACTCACTTACATGCCATATTGCCTCTCTCTTGTACGTACGTGTGACGCTGCACTGCACTCATCCACTGAAGAGGATATACCGCGTGCGCACACACTGAGCACTGAGCACTCTCTCGTTCCTCTCTCGCAGTACTACTCAGCGTTCATACGCTCGCGTTGGGTAGAGTCCAGTCTGCGCATCACACAGCTGATTCACGTCTTGGCCTGCATCAACGCACCTGTTTGCCGCCAGGATTCAATTGACACTTGATGCGTGTCGTTGGCGAGTCGCCAACGACACGCATCAAGAACCCTTTTTAGCACACACTTTGCTATTTGGCCACACGTGCCTTTGTTCTTTCTTCCTGCTATTACGAAGCATTGTCAGCCTTTATTGTCTAATAAAGACAGCATCGTGAGCTCCTCGCCATAGTCTGTTACAATATCTACATAAATTTATGAGTACATTTACAATTATGAAAATTCCTAGACGCTTCTGGAAACTACTGCTTAAGTACTGTGAAAACGTTCAAGAATTTTAGAAACTTTCTGCAAAACAGAACTTGTTTTACAACTGCAAATGAATCTCTTCTGAAAAATGACTGAATTTTTAACAAAATTTGGAGCTCGAACGAATGAGTCTGAAATTAGTTTTAGATTTACAAAGCTAAAAAGACGTAATAGTGTACAACTCTTAAGATAAGAATGATAAAGATTTGTAGCAGTACTTTGTAATAGACTGCGCTCAGTGCAAAACTGCAAATACGTTTTATAACTTAAAAAAAGGTTTAGAAAGGTAGTAAAGATTTGTTAAAGTCGAAGCAGGACCAAAGCAATTTTAATTTCGTCGGCAGCAATCTTTACCTTCACTGACATGAAAGTCTCTACCTTCGTCTACGACACACGCCTTGAGTTCTCGCGCAGGGTTCAGTCTCTATCGTCGTGACAACGTAATAAATAAACTCCCACGATACACGGTAAAGGCCGCAGTGCCAACGTCGTTGCCCAGCAAGTCAGCATTAATTCTATCGCGATTGTAGTAGCAGCAAAGTGCTTCGTAGCATTTCTTCGTAAACTTTTTTATTTAATAAGTGTTATTGACGATTTGTCAGGATTTTTGTGTAAGAACATGTCATAATACAAGCTGAGCACGGATGAATATTGGCTTACGACTATTTAAAATTACATACGTCGTATCTTGATGTGTTGAATTGTGTTGCAAATTCAGAATGAAAGCCAGACAGCTACAAAGTACTTATTCAAGATGGTTGCCTGCGGTAAGCATCGTGGATTATTGATCTTTTGCCCCTTGAGTTTTTTCGTTCCTGGCTCAGCTGCTAAGTTTCTGTTTATTCTACTAAACTGGCACAAATCTGAGAAGGCTATCAGTGGGCGAAATGGTTTGTTAACTGTTCACTCAGCCAGGGAAACACAAGAAACGCAGAGGCGAAGCCAAAAATTTTTCTTGTTCAAATTTATCATGCCCATGTTAGACCTATGGCATCCATGGTAACAAGCTTTCCAGTGACCTATGGGCCTACCGCGATCGCGATGGCGAAAGGTCAAGTGTCTAAGAACACTCCCCGCACTGCGAGGATTCTTGTGCAATTTGAAGCAGAAAAATCCATTGAGTAGAAGCGGAGATCACGCGTTACAATCAAGAGAGGCCGAAGGCCTGCAAGAGATGTTTAGTATTCATATAACCAGTTTACGGGATCTATTGTACATCCGTACGTATTGTCGTGGCGTACATTAGTTTTGAAAATTTGTATTTAAAGAAACATACGAATCTTCTGTATTCAAAAAATTTTAAGAGCGTAAGAATTGTAAGAAGCTTTAAAACCTTAAGAAATCTAAGAAACCTTAGAACCTAAGAAACCTAAGAAACCTAAGAAACCTAAGAAACCTAAGAAACCTAAGAAACCTAAGAAACCTAAGAAGTCTAAGAAACCTAAGAAACCTAAGAAAGATAAGAAACAAAGCAAAAGATACAGATTGCGCTAATCGCCAGCTTGATTACCATTATCATTTTGCCCTGGTTTTCCGATTTTTCGTTTTGTTTGCCGAAGCGATGCCGGAGGCCGCGGTCTGCCTCTGTCGCTGCGAGTGTACAAATAATTAGGCCACGTCCGTCTATAGGGGCCCATGGCAACAATTTCTTTTTCAGGGCCTCTGTTTCCCCGATGGGGCGCATCGATTAAACAAAAGCGTAACATTACCGGCGTCGTTGCGACGATTCTAACGCACTTTTCTGCGCGAAAATCGGCCCAGCCGTTCGGCCAATCATTCGGAACAAAGCATACTCGTGTATAAGATGTTACGGATGTAGATAATTATCATTTTTATAGCTATTTTACCACCTTTTATTTAATTATTTTATTTTTTGATATTGAAGTTACTACTTTACTGGCTATCCTACGCACAGAACCGCACCGGAAGGCAACCATAACATCCTGGCCACGTACCAGAATTCAACTCACTCCCTGGCCACGAATCAACGGGTCACCTGGCCACGCACCAGATATCGCAGCTCGAAATGACACACATGCGCTCCTTCCGGTGGTCGAGCATGTTCTGACGTTTTCCACGAGACTCCGCGGCCGAGGTGAGGCTGGCCACATGCCTCAAGACCCATGTCAGCGTTATCTCAACTTAATCTTTAATTTATAAAAAAACTAGATTATCATGCAGTAAACTGAGCAGGATGTCGTACAATGAACAATATTTTAGCATCGATAACATCGATCTTTATTGTTTTCAGCTGATACGGTAAATAAATAAGTACATCGGAATTCAGATAATGAATAAATTAAACAGTACAATAAATAAGCTAAATAATAAGAATTTTACTTAAGTCATGCGTGACTGCACTAGGATCTTGGCTTTCTGCACAATCCACTCATGTAGGCCAGCATGCGGCCGGAACCAGCATTCAACCGCACCCTTGCCGCTCGCGGCGGAGATATTCGGTATGGACGTGGTAACAATGAGCGGACTGCGAAATCCACGATTGAGAAACTTGGCCGCTTCAAAACCGCTACGCATCTCTGCGCTCAGCTGCAGTCTGTGTGTTAGATGCGAGTACGGCGCTTCCACCGGTGTACTCAGCAACCGGCTGTTGTGACGCCACATAACATGGTTCAGCGGAAAATTATTCTTGACCGCTTCCGGTGACAGCGGCAAACGCAGCGCGCAAGCCACCGTTAAAGTGTCGCCTTCGGTGACCAGCTGATCGGGCATCGGCGTATAGAAGACCTGGCTGGCGCGGGTGACCAACGGCAGTAGATAGTAGCGTTTAATGGGGATATTGGGTTCAACGGTTTTCACGCATGTCACCGCACCACTGGCCAGAAAGGAGACACTGCTGATGCGAAACAGCATGACGTCGTCCATGCGGCTGAAGCTGTACTCCTGACCATCCTCCACCGGCACCGGCTGCCCGCGTTCAAAGACGACACGGTCCTGGTGCAGCCAGGACACCGTATGCCAGTGCGTTCCGGGTGGCAGTTCACAGGCGAACGTGACGTTATCACCTAAGTGTGGCCGCTGCATCACTTCTTGATTACTAAATGGCCGCTGCTGAGCTGCTGCTTCCCAGCTTGGGTCAAACTGCAGTATCGTCAGATCGCCCTGCCGATGTTGGCTTAGTCCTTTCTCAATAATTTCATCCACTGAAACAAATTGCGTAGCGATTAGTATTGCTGCTGAACAGAACGGACGGCGGATAGCAATCTAATTAACTTTATCCTTCGCCCATGCTTAAAAAATAGACCTTCTTACAGTGGACGTCAAAAAGGTGTTACATTCGGTCCGCGACCGATAATTTATTAGTCAAGACCAAATGACCAATAAAATGACCAATAAACTGCAAACATGCATCTGACTACTGAGCACAAACTCATGCTGAATTCAAACACTTGCGCCGCGCACAGTTCCGAACGGAAACCATCCACCGATATCTCAAACGAAAGAAAAAACAAATATAAGAATTTTGATACCAAACAAGTTGTTTTTTTATGGGATCTAAAAGAAAATCGAGGCACTCAAAGTTTCTCGTAGACAAAGCATAGAATTTAAATCCACGATTTACTTTCAGTTTTCACGCAGAAACAGTATGCTTTGTCTACGAGAAACTTTAAGTGCCTCGATTTTCTCCTGCATCCCATAAAAAACAACTTGTTTGGTATCAAAATTCTTATAATTTTTTTCTCTTTCGTTTGAGATATCGGTGGACAGTTTTCGTTGGGAAATGTGCAAGTTGCAAGTAATATCAGCAGGCCGATGGCCAGCACGGAATTTCGGCTGTTTGTACAGGTAAGTTCCTGGTTGCGCGCGTTTTGTGGGTGGGTGGTTTTTGTAACACCTTTTTGAATTCCATTGTAGTTTGTGTTTGACTCAAATACGGTATCTAAGTATAACACAAACTAAGCAAGTCTATTTTTAAGGTTCCATCAAAATTTGTCATTAATGGATTGTCAAGGTGTGTGTGTATGAGTGTGGTAAAACTAACGGTAAGGTAGAGCCAGCAAGCTGGGGCAAACTTTATACGTTGGCATGCACCAGCCTGTGCCCTATCCGCACCAGGACATTGGGGAGTGTGACATTGCGCCGCACCCAAATTCGACGCGCGACTTTTCGCCGCAAAGACATTTCGCCACGGGACATATAGTCGCAGCGACATTTTGTTTTGGGACATACTGCTTTGAGACATTTAACCTTTGCGACATTTCGACGCAAGACATCTGGTCGCGGACGGTTCGCCGTCATAACGAATTCGAATTGCTGTGTGTTCACATGTTTCCTGTTCAAGTTATTCTTAGGTTTCTTATTTTTTTTAGATTTTCGTCAGTGTTTTATGTATTCTCAGGTTTCTTATGATTCCTTCTTATGTTTTATGTATTCTCAGGTTTCTTATGTTTCTTATGTTTTGGGTTTCTTATGTTTCCTTGGTTTCTTAGGTTTCTTTAGTTTCTTAAGTTTCTTAGGTTTCTTTGTTATAATTTTTATTTTCGTCGATTGTTGTAAAACTTTTCATTCTCTAACGGATGCAAGGTGCTGTCGTCGAAACAGTCTTGCGGCTAAATGGCCTCGTGACGAAAGGTCTCGCGTGGTGGTGTCCTCCCGACTAAATGTCCCGCGACGAAACGTAGCGCTGTGAAACGGCCTTGCGGCGAAAAGTCTGCGACCGAATGTCTTGCGACTAGTTATCCTCGGCCAAATGTCGCGGTACCAGACTCAGACATTGTACCAATAAAGGGCAAAATCAATTTAGTACTAGTAGCTTTTGTACAAAAATTAATGAGCGATTTTAGCAATGTGACTCGTGTCCATTCATTTCGGCCACCATTCATTTCGGCTACCATTCATTTCGGCTATCATAGATCCGGTTACCGCGTTCAATTTTCTTAGGTTTTTCTCAGGTTTCTTAGGTCATTCTTAGGTTATTCTTGTTTTTTAGGTTATTCTTAGGTTTCTTAGATTTCTTAAATTTTTCTTAATGCTCATTGCTTGAGAACCTTGGCTAGCCTTACAATAGAGTCATAGACTATTGTACATGTAAGCTAAAAATCGAACGCGATAACCAAATCTATGATAGCCGAAATGAATGGCAGCCGAAATGAATGGTGGCCGAAATGAATGGTGGCCGATATGATAGGGTGCCATGTGACTTTGGTTATTCTTTGGTTTCTTAGGTTTCATAAGTTATTCTTAGGTTTCTTCGGTTTCAGACGTTTTTGAGGTTTCCGAGATTTCTGAGGTTTCTTAGGATTCTTAGGTTTTTTGGGTTTCTTTGGCTTCTTAGGTTTCTTAGGTTGTTCTTAGGTTTTTTATGTTATTCTTTGCCGGTTTTGAAACCAGTTTTGTTTCAGTTTTTTATGTTTCGCTGTTTAGTGTATCTTGTAACACAGTTAGTACGCAGTATTTGTAAGTTGCGCCATATTTTCTGTTTTTGTCTGTAACTCTGGAAGGTTTGAGTATCCTCAGTCGGGACCAACGTTTTTGGTTTCAGGAAGAAAAGTTACATATGAAACACTTAAAAGTTGGTCAGTAGGTCGCGCCCGATATAATAATAGTATACCTATCAGAATTCTATCACGCCTGGCGCAAGCAACATCACGAAACAACCAAATCTGGTTATCTAAAAAACCCTTCACAGGATATCCTACAAGTTGTCTCCACAGCGTGGTACAAAGTCAAACCTGAAACGATCAAAAATTCCTTCGTTGCCGCGAAAATCATTCCTCGAACGGAGACAGAAAATGATGAAAATACATTCCCCGTGGAGAACTCTCCTCCAAATGATAACAGTTTTCTTGAAATGAGCTGTGAGCTGAATTTGGACGAGTCGCTCTCGGAACTCGAATAAGCTAAATTTTTTTTCATTTGTTAAATTGAACAGAAAATGTTAAGAATTTAGCAATACCAAATTCGAATGCAGAATATCCTGGGAAAAACCAAAATAAAATGAGAATTTGGATCGTGCTAGATTACAGTATTTCCAATTTATACTCGTACAAAAATAACATTAAAAGTCGATATGGCAAGGAGTGGTACGCGCACGCGGCCCAAGGCATTTTAGTGTCCTTTAATATCGTGTAAATACAGTACGAATACTCCAGAAATTCGATCCAGAAAAATAAAGTGAAAGACTCAAAATTGCTTTCGAAATCGGAAAAAAATACTTGATGAAATTCAGTCAACAAGCTTCATACGAAGATCGAAAAATATGAAAGTTCTGAAATTTGTTTTGCGTCGACCAAGATTTTACCGTTTACTTCAAGGATGACTACTGTTTTGGGTGGAGCTATTCGTTGTACCCTCTTTCAGTTAAATTCTAATAATTATAAGTTTATAACTAATTCATTTTCAAATATTTTCGAAAACGCTTTCGTGCATTAGGTAAAAAAATGATTTCTCTACATTCTAGTACCGGAAAGACATTCTGGGTTCTTCAGGAAAACGCAATACAAGCATCCAAAAAGTGGACAACTAGAAGGGCCTCTCTACTGCGCGCAGTAGCGATTCAGTACACTAGCGGTAGCAGTAGTGACGTCAAGGCCCAGTAGTGACTGTTTTTTTTACACTGCAGACGTTTGCGAAAGGTTCGTATTGTCGGCACATGGTTTCTATCATGTTTGCATACCGCCATATTGATATTGGTGACTACAGTCTGTGTCAGTGACCACTGTCAGAGAGGCAGCCTCTATCTATAGTATCGTTCGACAAATCTTTCAATACAGTCTGTGTGCTTTGCGGGTAGCCTAGTGGTGCCTCTCTCGGCCTTACCAGTAAAGTGAAAATCTGCGCAATGACCAAAATACGAGTCTTATATTACCTAGTAGAATAAAATGTGTAGTATTTTTAAAAAAATGTTTTATTTTCCGGTTAAGTATTATTAATTTTGTAATAATGATATAATCATCCAAACCAAGTATGGAAAAACGTTCCGTGACGTCTACACGAGCATCCAAGATGCCGCCGCCCATCGCGCACCTGAGATACCCTTCTTCACTCAGATCTTGAGCGCTATTATTCGCTCTAATTTTCGATTTACATAGGGCGCCGACACATAACTATTATTTTCATGATTTTTAAATCTAGAATTCTTTGAACAGCAATTTTTCTGGTTCGTAAAACCAGAAAGAAAAATTACGTCGTTCATTGCTCGGAAGTGAGTTTACTTCAGCTGGCGCTGAATCCGCGTATATGAACTGCCAACTGATACCATGCGATGCAGAATATCCGCGATCAGCATTAGAGAAGATCCGTATCTCAGGTGCGCGATGGGCGGCATCTTTGATGTGCGCACGTAGACGTTATGGCACGTTTTCCCATACTTGGTTTGGATGACTATTACACAAAATTAATAATACTTAACCGGAAAATAAAAAATTTAATAAAATACTACTCGTACACATTTTATTCCATTAGGTGATGTAAGTCAAATATTTTGGTCAATATGCGCCGATTCGAACTTTACGGGTTAGAGTATGGAGGTTGTCGGTTCGATTCCCTTAATCGGCAGGTTTTTTTGGAAGTTTCTATGCTATTCTAGCTCGTCTCTTGCACGATCAGCGTAAACAGGCAGAGAACCCAGCAATCTCAAGCCAAGGCTGTATATATTACTGCTGGTATACAACGGTAGACACTAATCCTGCAAACGCCTGCGCCTCTGTAGTCAGCCAGTATACATTCTAAGCAATTTAATGTCTACGGGTATGAATACAAGGTAACTACAGCCTGTTAGCTCTCAACGTAGCAGATGACTACCGTGACTACGACACAGGACGAAAAAACAGCCCACATTTTTTCTTTGGTACGAAATGAGGTAACGCCATGGTAAAAGTTTTGAAAAGGTCATGTACTACCCTGGCGCCTGTGGCACGAATCGTACTCCATGATCTTTTCAGAACTGTTACCATGGCATTGCCATGCAAGACTTTCTCAAGATAAAACCCATTATTTAATTAGTGGCTCAAAGCCTCAAAACAAGTTTATCTCCATCTATGATGTATCTAATTACTTAACAATCGGGCAGAATCGCCACGCCGTCCGAAAACTTGTTGTGAAAGTCCTTGTTGTCTCCTTTTGGGCCAAAGCTAAAATGTTTACCTTTTGCGCTGATGGCAGCGATGATATTGCAAAATGCTTCGGGGAGATTTTTCTAATC